TCCAGGTAGGGTTTAGACTTTAGGAGTTCCCTTTCTCTTTAGAAATGGCGTTAGACATGATAAAGTGGTTCATGAAGCAAGTTATTAATAAACCTGGTTTATTTTCCTCATGCTACAATCACAGATTGACACATTTCACCTGAGAGGTAGGCAAGGATAATCAACTTATAATGCTAATTTTTATTGAGTCCAATTTTGAAGCTCTCACTAATTTTAACTGACTCTTACTTTATTCTTTAGGATCAGCAGAAATAAGGGCTACCTAAAAGTTCAGTCGTGCATTCTCTCTCACATTACTTTTTCCTTGTTGAGCTTGGTAAGAGAGTTGATTCTGAGTTGTGCTTATCCACACTGAGGTACTGAAGAACTGAAAAGCTCTTGTTAGAATGCAGAAAATATATGATGTTTTGGATGCTGTGCTGTGTCACAAAAAATTGTCAGTATAAAAATTTTTATATTCTCGGTAAATGGAAATTGCCTAACCACAGCAAATGAAGATAGGCAATTGGGCCAAATATGTGTGTATTTCACTAGAAATATTAAAAATCTAGAAAAAGTTCTGAAACGAAAGTATTAGTTTAGAAATGAGAATGTTCATGTAATAGGCATGTTAGACACTTAATGGAAGAAAAATAATCAATGTGACAGGCACATTGATGACAAATTACATGAGAAATACAGGTAAAGTACAGATTTCTTTTGTCTTGAAGTAAACAGAGTCAAATGTCATGGATTAACTACACCACAAAAGCCAAGAGTGCCTACAGATTGAAATTACAAGATTAAATGGGAGAACTAGAACTGTAGCACCACAGGACCGCAGTTCGATATTAGGACTACAGTAACAACTGTCCTACCTAAATAGTGACATTGCCCATGAAAAACCTGATCAAGATCAAACAGGGCATGAAAACAAGAAATGCAATGGCAGTAGGTGACATAATTTACCAAGTGACATTCGGTAAATGGACTGGGGGTTGTGATTCTGCATAAAATTTTAGGTTTTTTAAATGCTTGCTTATACAAAAGCTATTTGTTTATCTTGGAGAAAAAAAAGTAATTCTAAGTAGTTCTAAGACTTGGTCTTAGATGGCAACAGAAAGATCTCTTTCAAAATACGGTTAGAATATCTGTGTGACAGCAGCTAACGCATTTAGATGCAGTGTTCTTGAAATAGAAGAAAAAAAGGGGAAAAAATCTCCCATGGCAATGTTCAACTTTCAAGAGAAAACTACATAAAAATGTGAAAACTGTTTAAAAAGAAAGGGAGCCAAAATTTAAAATGTTTATAGGAGGCCTGAAGATTGTTTAAATATGGAAAGTCAGCTCCCATATTTAAAGTCAGCTTCCAGGGAAAGGCTTTAAAAGACCAAAAAAAAAAAGGTTTGCATAGCTAAACAGCAGGATGAAGGACTAAAAGGATGTCTCTTATTAAAAGGACTTCTTTTATATGAAGTAAAAGGGCTTTCTTCAAGTTGAATTTCTGCCTAAATGAGGAAAATAAAGCATAAACAATTTAAATATATAAATAAAAGAAAGGCCAAAGGAGATTTTGAAGAACAACTTGGCAAAAAATGCTAGTTAAGTAATTTTCAGTCTCTCTTTTAAGTAGGTAAAATCCTGACATAAAATCTACAGGACTAGTAAATTATCAAAGTAGAGAAGGTGTTTGGAGACATGTACATTCTGACATATTTTTCTGTCAAGAACATATCAGAAGATTTGTCAGCAATAAAAGTGTTATAAGAAGAGATTTCGAAACAGTTGGCAACAATGAACAGTAAAAAATTACCAGGATAGTATGGTATCCTGCAAATTAAAAAAACTAAAGTACTAAACTGTGCTTAACTAACTAACAAATACTAACTTGTACTTACTAAACCAGTAATGATGGTGTAAGGATTAAAAGTTTCTCACTCTGAAAAAAATGGAGGTGGTAAATATGACAAGTAATCTGAGAGATTGGTAGGACCTGCAATGCTGTCTTAAGCCCACTTCTAAATCATAAGATTTATGGGTAAATATGGTTAAAAAAAAGGGGAGAATAAGCATAGCTTTCAAACAGGAACCCAGAACCTCTAAAATTTCATTGAAAAAGTGACAGGACATATGGATGAGGATGATCCATTTTGTAGAAGCTAGTTGGTCTTCCAGAACTCATTTGAGCATGTTCTTCATCAAAGGGTCCTGAAGAAACTTAAGTATCATAGGGTAAGAGATTCAGGCCTCTCAGTAATAACTGACTACAAACTGAGAAAAAAATAGCAGAGGATGTTGTTCATTTTTGCAATGGAGGGAACTCCTCATTAGAGATCCCATGAATCTGTAAGAGCCTGTGATGTTCAACTTACAAATGTTTTGAAAGATACAGGGAGGGGAGGAGATGCCAGAGATGGCAAAATTCACTGGTAGTACTGACGTTATTCAAGGTAGGAGAAAGGTAAGATTGCTGTAGGGGCTTGCAGCAACATTTCATTATACTGATGAACTAAATTTATCATTAATAAATATAAGGTAATACACACGGGGGGTAGATCTTAACTTATATATCCAGACATGATTTAGAGTTACAATTGCTAGTTCTAAAAAAACACCCCAAAACCCACTGTGTTCAGCAGAGGACAAAAAAGCAAACAGTGTTTGAAAACTTCAAAAATTTGAATAGAAAACAAAACAGCAACCGTGACAATTCTCCTACACAAACATATCATACATCCAGCTCTTGAATTCTGTTTGCACTTTTGGCCTCTTCTCAGGAAACAGACCTCTTGTAGGATGATCAGAAGTGTGGAAGAGCTTGTCTGGAGTAGCTCAAAATAGAGTTGGGCTCTTCACTCTTGGAATGTGAGGACAGAGGGAAGGATCAGTGTGTGTGGCACAGAGACAGTAAATGAGGAACATTTCCCTGTTTGCCAAACTGTTCACCAGATATGTAGTGCACCTGTTACTGGTGGCAGGTTCAAAATGAGCAAGAGGAAGGGGGTTTTTTTATACAATACACAGCTGAAACATGAAGTTCACTCTTAGAGGGTGTTGTGAGTGCTAATACGTTACAGACATTCAAAATGTTATCAACAAAATTAATAGAATTTAAATGCCATTAGAGCTATTAAAAAACATAACCTCAGCTTAGGAAGGCCCTAGGGCTGGGTTAAGATCCTGAGAGAGTTTGTCCATGACTGTAAATCCTTGTGTCTTATATTCTTCCCTCAGCTGCTGGAACTGTCCGCTCTTAAGAGACAAACTGCAGGGCGAGGTGAATCTCTGATCTCACCTGGTGCACCAATTGCAATTGCTTTAGTGAAATCAGACTAACCACACAGCTCTTATTGCAACTGTTCCTGTTTATATCCAAACTTTATTTTATTTGAAGCTCTGCATTAAAAAAAAAGACCCACAATCCAAGAGAAGCTTTGTTGGTTAGCATTGTTCAGTCATGGGGCTCAGACTGATGAGTGGGGAGAGGATGTGACTAGGAAGCCTGGAAATTCATCCCTCAGCACTACCCCGCTCTGTGGATGCCTACTTTGCTTTGTATCTCATGGCCCAAGCTACTTCAGTTTGTAGGCCAGAGTGATGAATACCTTATGCAACTTGAGTGCCTGTACAGCAGAGTCCTCATTGGCTGGTCTGCAGTGTAGGGACCTTTTTTCATTCGGACAAAGCTAATTTTTATTGTTGTTTTTGTGGGTTCCTTTTAGAAGGGCCCTGCCTACATTTTTCTTTTCTATCATCCCTCCTCTTTTGCTTACTACTGAATGCTTACTGCGTTAATACTGTATTTCTTCAATTCCTCCTCAACACAATCTGTGACCTCTGAGGTAGATGGTCCTGGGAAAAGACTCCATCCATGCTTTCTAGCTGTTTTCTTTTTGTTTAAAGTGGATTATAATTGGTCTTGAGGGAGAAGACTCGGTTTTAATAATTGTTTGATTTTAGACATTTTGCTACCAGACATGCTTATTTTGATTTTAAGGTTTTTGTTATTCCTATTTTTAAAATAGTGCATTTGGAATACACATCATAAACACATAATTCTCTTATGCTGGCATTATTCTGTTTTTTTTATGAAAAATTAATTTTAGTTTTAAAATTGTTGTAGCAGGAAACCCATCAAACCCATGGTTGTAAATTGTTAACTGTTTTAGGCAGTTTTTTTGTTGTTCTAGTTTCTCAGTCAGAAATCATAGAATGTTGTGTGTTCAAAGGGACTTTAAAGATCATCTAATTCCAAGCCCTGACAGATGCCTATAGCACATGCTATATACAAAATATTAATGGTGTACAAGCCACAAGATGGAGATCAGAGAGTTGATAATGTGTTATGGACTCACCTGCTGTCAGGATTGTAGCAAACATGCCCATTTTATGCCCAAGGTGGGAGAGCAGTGGATATGATGTCCTTGATTCCCATTGGAAAGTGACTGAAGGTAAAAGCTTCTGGTGTGACTTCTACTGTCAGACCTAACAGGAGTGTAGGGACAAACACTGAACAGAGATTTGCCTGGGAGCCTGAGTGAGACCTGATGAAGGAAGACACTCTACCACTATTATTTCTGCTTATTCTTAATTTTTAAATTTAGCTTTCTGTGTATCGCTGATAATTCTGAAATTACTTGAATGGAAAACATGGGACTAGAGTTTAGCTGAAGGCCAGTCCCTGCCTTGCTATCACAGAATTTTGATAGGGTGAGATCACAAAGACAAGATCAAATGAGAAATTGTATTTGGAAGTCTTTGCCAACAAGTTTTTGGATATAGGAGTACCACAAGAGGAGGAAAAATGAAAATTAAGGTACATCTGGAAATGGATCACATAATATAATCATAATATAATATAATGGATCACATAATATAAAAATTCTCACATATTTATACTTTTTGATATTTCATATTGCCCTGAAAGAACTTAATTTGTTTGTAATGAACAAAATGTGGACATGGAGCTCTCACTATGGCAGCCTAATTATTTTTTTTTTGTCTGTCATTTCTTTATGTAGGTGGAAAATGTTCGGTTACTTGATCGTTTATCTTCAAGGAAAGCTGTTCTGGGAACCTTGTATTTAACAGCTACCCATGTCATATTTGTGGAGAATGGTTCTGAAACCCGTAAAGAAACCTGGGTATGAATTTTTGTCTTTTCAGTTAGCTTTAAGTGCATGGCACTTTATTGATGGTAATTTGAAAATTACTTGCAAAACAGTTTAGACATAGTAAATGAGTTCATATGGATGCTTTTGTAACTTCAGGGCATGTGAAGTTCCAGCCTAGTAAATTCTGAAAATTTTCAATGGATTCTGGATATCGCAGTACAGTAAGAGGAATAGAAGGACCTTCTCTGTACGAATACCACATGTATTTGTATGAGGAGCAACTGCTGTAAACTCCAATATTGTTCCTATCATCCAGGAAGAACTGAAGAGAAATGCCTTGAATATGAACTACTACCTTGGCTCTATCAACTCTTGCCTCTCTCACTGACTGCTTGTGCTGAATCAGTAATTTTGTTGTTTTAATATTTTAATTTTTTTTATAATGTAGTGTTTTGAATTAACTATTTTGACGGATTGATAACATACGTTGCGTGTTGTCATTCTTTAACCACAAGCCATTAACCAAGCCCCATGTAGCCACTTGTTCACTTCCCCACCAGCAGGACTGGGGAGAGACTTGGAAGGGTAAAAGCTATAAAACTTTTGGGTTGAGATAAGGACAGTTTAATAGATAAAGTAAAAGCCTCACACACAAGCAAAGCAAAACAAGGAATTCATTCACTGCTTCTCATGGGTGGGCAGGTGTTCAGCCATTCCCAGGAGAGCAGGGCCCCATCACACGTAACAGGAACTTGGGAAGACAAATACCATCACTCCAAACAACCCCCTTCCTCCTTCTTCCTCCCACTTTATATGCATGAGTATGATGTCATATGGTGTGGAATATCCCTTTGGTCAGTTGGGGGCAGCTGTCCTGGCTGTGTCCCCTCCCAGTTTCACATGCGTCCTCAGCCTTCTTGCCAGCATTGCATTATGAGAAGTAGAAAAGGCCTTGACTCCATGGAAGCAATAACAAAAATATCTCTACATTATCAACCCTATGTTCAGCACAATTCCAAAACACAGCCCTGTGTCAGCCACTGTGAAAGAAATTAACTCTACCCCAGCCAAAGCCATCACACATGTACATATATAGGTACAAATATTTCTCCAGTGCCATATCATTTGAGAGTCTTTCATATGGCTTAATTATGCATCCTGTGTCCATTTTTGTACTAATTAAATCCATCCTTTTCTGGTCCCACTGTTCCTCACCTGATTTTTATTGTAATGTTTCATCTCATCTGACGCAGCATGTAAAATTGTATCATCACTACCATTCTACCCATGAGAAGGCCCAGTATTTTAGCCATATCTAAGTGGTGCTGGTTCATCTTTTCACTGTGCAAATAGATGAAAAAAGCTCTTTCTCTGACAACCACTAGCTTACACTAAAGCAAGCAAACAAAAACTTTGGATAACATGAGTAGGCTGATAATTGAGCAGCTGAAACACTCCAGAAGCACTTCTTTGTCTGTAGGTGATGTATCAAGCACTGATTGAGCCTGAAGGAGGAGATTGAAACCAAACTTCTTCAAGAGGAGAAGTGTAGGGGTTTTTGTGAAACAGTGGTGGAAGCCACTGTGCCTGCCCTGGCACATCATTATAAATAATTATTTTTCTTCTTAAAGATTTCATTGGCATAACAATTTTCAATTCCTTTACAGGTTCTCCACAGCCAAATTTCCTCTATTGAGAAGCAGGCCACCACTGCCACTGGTTGCCCATTGCTGATTCGCTGCAAGAACTTCCAGGTCATCCAGCTGGTCATCCCTCAGGAACGAGACTGCCATGACATTTACATATCTCTGATCCGTCTGGCACGGCCAGGTATGGGAAGGAAATGGCACAAAAAGTAATCCTCATCCTGAAGAGGGAGAATATAATGGAAGAAATGTATCTGTGTGTCTTTGTCCTTTGCAGGTTAAGAAAAAACCTTCATTAGAGGTATGTTATAAAAGAAACATTAAAATAATCACTTATGGAGCAATGAAGAAAGCACAATATAACAAGTAGTTTGTTCCATAAAATGTGACATGAGCTTTGTTTAAAATAATACTCTATTGGCCGTAAAATATATTATAATGCTATTTTACATACAGCTGTTGTTTGCTGGATCCCTTGTGTAAGTGTGAATTTAGGAAAATACTCTAAATCCAGGGAACTTTTGTGCCCCTGCTGTGACAAAAACCTTACAATATATTTAATGGTCATGTCAAGATTTGAATTTTGACTTTCTGTGCTGTGCATAAATTTCTTAAAATCAGTTAAAGGTTTTGCAGCAAGTAGTTGATTTATTCCACCAGCCTGCCCATGGTTTTGTCTATTATTATCTACATTTTGAATGTGTCCTGTTTGAATTTCTGAATTCAGTTCAAGATCCTTTTGAAACCTTTCCTCTTTTCAGTGAAAATCCAAATGTTGTATCAAAGTCCAACATCTGATTGCCTACACTGTAGCTCCTCTCTGCATTACACTCTCCTAAGAACCAGCTGACAAGGGTTCTGGATTGTTTCTTTTTAAAATTATAACTGTAGAAATACAACACCGACTTTTGTCCCTTACTATTACTTTAATAGGATGCAAAGAAATTGTCTACCACACTGTACAAAGCTGAAAACACTGACTTTAATTTTTATCTTGCTAGGAGAACACCAATTTCATCTACTGTATAGAGGGGGAAAAATTGCATAGTCAGCCAGCACAACTACTGAACTATAAAGTACCTTCTATAATTAGGGTAGTAGGAGTAGTAGTAATGTACAACTGTAGCAGAAGTAACTTAGTATGCTAGGTGATGCTGGTTCAAAGTAATCAGAAAAATTTTAAAACAATGAGACAGATCCAGTCAGTGGTTCTGCTGATATAGGTCTGGATTCATTCCATGGACCTCAGCTGCAAGCATGTGTTCATGCGTGCTGGAAGGAATGTAGTTCTGGAATGCTCTTTCCCTGGAGGCTGAAGGAGGTGTGCGTGCTGCTATGCACCAGAACGGGCAGACAGAAGGGTAGCTATGGACCCTGAATGCAAGTTCAGTGGCAAACTGCAATGGACAAGAAGGTTTGAATAAAGAAGATGGGAAAACAGCACTGTAGAATTAGCTCTTTCAATAGTTCAACTGCACAGTAGTTTTCCTTCTCCAACAAACTATCCAGTCTTGATGTGAGGAAGGATAAAATTATGCTTACTTACTCAAAATTAGAAGGCTCTGATTACAAACTGAGCCATATGTGCCCTGACAGTTCTCATCTGGGTGTGAAGCTGTACTTTAGGTAATACAGTTACTCAGCATTAGAAGGTACCCTTTGCTCCATGAGGAGAAAATGGGACTCAGGCTCTGCTTTCCATTCTCTGCCTGTTCTTTTCATTCATTAAGCCATAGCGAAGCCTGAGTGAAGCCCATGTTGTGTACTGGCTTAACATGTTCTATGCCAACTGATGTCCCAGTTATATTAAAGGTGAATTTTATGCTAGAATTTTATTTTTGCTAGAATTTTAATAAGATCAAGCTGTCAGCTGAATTTGGCCTTTTTGCTTAATTAAGCCATTTTTTGAAACAAACTGACTGTAAGAGTTGTTACATGCTTATAGCAAAATAACTGTGAAAGATTAGGAAAGGTCCTGTAAGTACTGGCCAAGGGGTGGTGACTGAGCTTTAAGGCACTGCTACTAATACTTGAACATTTTTGATACCACCTATAGATACCATCATGTAATAATACTTGTAACACTGAGGCAGACTTTAGTCGTATGTAACCCAGATATATTTTAATAGGTGAATTTTTAAAGGGTTCCCATGTGCCTGTAAACAGCAGGTCCATCAGGAAGAAAATCCAGATGTTTCTGACAACAAAGCAGTGAAAACAAGAGCTCAGATTGCTACCAAAAGCACTTTAGTAAAAAGAGCTCAAATTAGATTTATGGATTATGCTAAAACTTCGTGTTAGAAGATGAGAAGTAAACCAGACTGTCTTCCTCATCTGTGCCATGCCACAAGTTTGAAATTAGAGAATACAGAAAGAGTTTAAATTGTTGGACAATTTGCAAATCATTCTTTTCTTTTTCGCTACTCAAGACTTGGTTGACTTTCTGTACAGTCCTAACATGAAGTTTTCTTTCCTTATGTTCATACTTTTGTGTATGTGTGTATACAACAAATTTAATGAAATTAAAAAAGGCAAAATAGAATTTAAAGTAAACCTTTAGAAGACATAGTCAAAATACAAGTAAAGACTTTCTATAGAAAAAGGTGGGAACCTTATTATTAATATGGGGGAGTATTATTTTTATACCTCTATATTCTGTACAGTACAGAACACTGTAGTGTTCTAAGACTGCTTATTAGCTATATATTATTAGAAAAAGAAAGTGTAGTATTCAAATTTACTGATCTCCGTAAAATTATATTGTAGAGCAAGTGTATCAGTGGAGAACTGTGAAATCATAGACTCAGCTTGTGATTTACTTTACCTCAGTTCTAAAGTTAAAAACCTGTTGGTCAGAGAGCTTTAAGGAACTTAGAGCAATGGAATGAAACACACCCTTGTGACACAGTATCTTAAATATCAGTGAAAATGTGAATTTCAAATTGTATGCTGAATAGTTACTCATGTCAGTAACAGCTGGCATTCAGTGGCAGTGGTGTCTGGCTGCCACTGGTCACCAGGACTAAGACATTCATTAGCATAAATGCAGATATATTCCTAAAAAAAGTCAAAAACTCCAGCACCATCAAAGTTTCCTATATGATCCTTGATTGACAGAGACAGGTGGCATAGCTACTTAAACAATTTCATGGTCATGATAAAATGATTGACGTAGCATATGCTTTTTTTATGCTATTACGTCATCTGTATCTCCAATGCCTTTGCCAATAATTCAGGGACAGAATTTTGCACTCTGCAAAACTAAGATTTCATTGAATCTATTGGAAACCTTCCTAATTAGGAACAAAAACTACTGAGTTCATTTTTGTGCTGCATAGTCCATTGTTCACATCTTATGTCTTTGCCACAGGATAGATGTTACGTTAATAAAGGGAATTCTGAACTAGTAGACAGTAAATTCTTTTGCAGATCAAGTGCTTACTCTGGCACTGACTGCAGTTTTCTTTGGATGAAAGCGTATCACTGACATTTTGTCTGTGCTGGGGGAGGCCTTCACAATTCTACTGAAGTTTAGCAGAACGGTATATTTGTAGTAGCACTTCTATTTCAACATATACAAATATCAAAAGAGCACAATACTTTCAAAGTTAACTTGACAGTAGATATAAACCAGGACATGTGCTTTTGTAAAACAAAGCATACTGCTTTAAAAGATACTGCATCAAGGCCAACACCAAGTTCTGCTTTTAAAGTGTGATTTCTGGATAAGAAATCTGAAGTGGTTTACTGTTTTTGTTTGTTTGCTTATTTTTTTCCCAGTGAAATATGAAGAGCTGTATTGCTTCTCATTCAATCCAAAATTAGATAAAGAAGAACGAGAACAAGGCTGGAAACTTATGGACCTCAATGAAGAATATAATCGGATGGGCGTTCCAAACAACTATTGGCAAATTTGTGATGTAAACAGAGACTACGGAGTGAGTCGTTGTGATTTTTCTGTTACAGAGGTTGTCTGTAAAACAAATCAGCAGCCTGACTGTGGACTACCATGGTGCTTAGTTGCAGGATCCCTTTGTGCTGAGTGCTGTACACACATGTCACAAGGTGCAGTTCTTTCACATAAAATGCCACATAGAGAATGTGAGAAAGGATATGTCTTTATTTAACAGATGTGAAAATGAAGCACAGAAAACAGTGTTTTAAATGTTAGAGTTTGACTGCCTGGGAAGAAGTTTAAATCATTCCTAATGTTATGTGTCTGAATAAGATTTTTCCTGACATGTAGGGCTATATAAAATTACTACACAGTCATTTTATGAAAAAAAATTGCTCAAAATAGTGAGCTTAGCAATATTTTTTTCCTCACTGGCTATTCCCACACTCCTTTTGAATCCTGTGTGATTGAGTGTTTTCATAGTCATCTAGTAGGTCATATATCTTCCTAGCTGCCTGCTGTCCTGCCTCATTCAGTCTTGTACAACTGAAGACCCTAGAATGTTAATTAATTGTGAGAAATAATAACCAAAGGATTTTTGAAGGAAGTTTGTCCATGCACTGCATTGGCTCTGTTGCTGGAGCACATCCATGTTAAGGAAGGTCTGTGAAGTTCTCAGAGAAGACTAAATGTGCTGTCAGCATTTGTTTTTGTTAAAAGAAGTGGAAAAAAATGTTTGGCCTCTTCTAAGATAAAGTATAGGGAAAATGGCCTCATGAATAAAATCCAGTTCACCACAGCAGCATCTGTAACCACAAGCCATAACTTTCCTTTCTCCTTCATTACATATCTCTGTCTCAGAAAATAATTTTTTCCTGGGCATTCTAATTCCTTTAGTCATCTCAGAAAGTCACAGGGAGATACTGAATATCCTTTTGACCCCAGTCAGAATGTTACAGGCAGTACCAAGACAAGGAAGTTAAACTAGGGCCCCATGTGTGGTCCTACTTGTCTCCAGAGGGATTTCTGGGCTTTTTTTGCAGGCTCATAGGGTTCCTCTCAGAAGTGATAGGTGTTGTCAGGGCTGCTTGCCTTTTGGTATCCTCATTTCACATGGTTTAATTTCTTTTCTCCAAGTCCCTATTTTTATCCTTATTTTTTTATTATTATTATCAGATTTGCTGGAAAATTTGGCTCTATAGTCGTTTGAGAACTTCACCCACTCCCATCCTTACTCCCAAATTGTGCTATAGAGAAAACTGCAGTTGTAAATACAACTTTGCTGTACATAATGATAGATGTTTTCTGGTATGAATGTATGTTAAACCTGTATGTTCTCAACAAGGCATGAATCAACATTTGGAAATACAGCCCTTCAACCCTTCTCCTTCAGTTTTTCCATCTGTAAGTTATGATTAATACTTTCCAGCTTCAAAAGAATGTTTTGAGAAATGTCAGTGATGCATATACAATAATGATGGAACATTTCCCAAGATTTGAGTTCCTTGGTATTTTGTTTTTGCTGTGGAGATGGCTAATGTTACTCGTACTTTGTAGACCAAATAAGCAGTTTCCTTTCACAGGTCTGTGACTCCTATCCTACAGAAGTGTATGTACCAAAATCTGCAACTGCACACATCATAGTGGGGAGTTCTAAATTTCGGAGCCGAAGGCGTTTCCCAGCTCTTTCCTACTACTGCAAGGATAACAATGTAAGTGCGAATTTGAAGCTTATTTTGGCCTTGGTTTTGTAATTCTTCTAGTAAGATTTTACAAGAAATCTGTGATTATTTAATTTTTAAAAATGATTACTGTAGCCTGGTTAGTGTGGTTAGTTCATTAATAGGCATTAATAGGTATTGAATGCATTCATTTAAATCCAGCTGCATCACACACACAAAAAAGTGATCCCCGTATCATAAGAAAGTGGAGTAGTGCAAGAGGCCCTGAAACTTGGGTGGCAGAAGAGTGAAGTAGCAGGCAGCTTAACAGGTGACTGGGAGGAGAACAGAGCAATTTTGGATCTCATAGCCACAGACTGAGTTGAGGAGGTTAAAAACTATACTTGCAGCAATTAGAGAATCAGGAGTAGCTTTTCAAGAAAACGTCTGTGAAGAGACCAAAAAAGACGGATGAAAGAGCTATCAAGTGTTGGCTGAGCAGCATGTTGTGGGTTTGTTGAAGAGTCTCTCCTTGTCTGCAAGAGTGAGGAGTGCCATCTTCTCTGACACATAACACATATTCTCAGGGTAAGCAAGGAACTGCCTCACTTGTCTGTACCCTTTTGGAAAAAACCCTGACCGTGACCTGTTTGCATTTCTTTTTTCTGGCAGCTGAGGTAAAGGACTGAAGGATCCCATGGACTGGGTGTTTTTGCATTTGTGTTCCAGCCCCTTAGAGATTGGCTTAGCTCAACTATCATTACTTGTTAGGCTAATGGTGTCCCTTTTGGGCTGTCAGAGGATCTGTGTGACTCCAGTTTCAGTCCCAGACTGGCAACTGCATTGAGAGGTCTTTTGTAGTTCTGGGGGACAGGCAGAACCTCCCAAGAGACAGAGCTACTCTGAGATTACAGGGCACCTGTAGCTTTTGCCAGGCAGGATGGAAGGTAGAATGTAACAAGCACAAATCATAAGTTACAATCTCCACAGAAATTTTTTGGCCCCATCATAGTTTAAGCCTCAGAAAGAAGGGATAAGACGTTATTTTCACTCCTTCCTTACCCTGCATTTTATCAGAATATTACTTCCCTAAAGATCTATGAATTTTACAACAAAAGTGGAGGATAGGAAGATTTGAATAGTAAATACAATCTCTGCATAAATTGCATAATTTTTTTAACATTTCGTGAAGGCCAAATTTTTCAGAGTTAATCCCTTTGCATAATCAACTAGGTCCAAATATAGATATCTAGGATTCAAAACACTTGGACATTTCCAAGTCTCAGTGAAAGAAAAGGTCTCAGGGGTCAGCTAGATTCCAATATATAGTGATTGGATGAGTTTCATGGTTTCAGCCTGAATGTTTTCCCTGTTATATTTGGAGTCCAGATTAAGGTTCAAACTACAGGATCTGAAGTATTGTGTTTACTCATGCATCCTTCATGGTTCAAAGAGCTGGGGAAAGCAATGTTGAAGGAAATACCTCCTTGTGAGTTTGGAGATTGCCATGAGTTGCCAGCTAATAGAGTAATGGACAGGGGAGGGAAAAGATTTATGATGCTCACAGCAGGTTAGGAAGAGGTGTACTGCGTGCAGAAAGAGACAGGTACCACTCGTTCAGTCTTTCATATCCAGAACTTTCCCATAGCTCTTTTGTCCTGACAAAAGAGGTATAAGCATGTATTAAATTGCTGGAATTTACGCTGATCAGGAGGCAAGACTGCATAACTAATAACCTGTTTGCAAAAGCTGTTAATAAAGTAGGAACAGGCTCTCACACAATTCAGGGTTTCTACCTTAAAGATCCATATTTTACTTACTAACTACTGACAGTACAAAGACGTGACTGAAAAAAAGCATGTCCTTTCTCACAGTAATAAATAATCTGTAGGGCAGTCTGTACAGGACCTTCAGCAGGCAGATTCTGTTCATGCTTGTGTTCAGTGCTTAGAAAGTGCATATATTAGCTCCTTGCCTTCTACAAATCTAGCTACCCTCTGCCTAGCAAAAATAAAAGCCTCCCTGCTCACCTATTTCACATCTAGTTCCTTCCTTCCTGGTTTCATCTGGAGGTCTGATCCTGAGGGGTCTGTGGAGAAGCTCTCTTGCCTCCTTCAATAGCCATGATTAATAAATGTACTCCAGGAGTCAGGCTGCCTGACCCACTTCTTATGCAGTAAAGTCTTTCTCCAGAGACAGTGCTAAAAATATATGACCATCAGTGATCTGGCTGCATGTTACATGATTTTGTTTCCTTGACTCCTGGTGTCAGGTTGTTTAGTAAAGCAGGCACTGGTGTAAGTTGGGTGTAACCAGTATCATACCTGATGTGAGTGACAGTGCAAAAGAACCTATTCTTTATGTTATATCTGTGTTCTTGTAATTGCAATTCTGTACTCATCCTCAAGATATCACCTTTCAGGAGTTATTCCACATTAGGCAAATACTGTATTTAAAATAGCTCTAAAACTTGGATTCGAGACTAGACTTGGGCCAAAGGTGTTGTATTGTTTTAATATTTCCTTGCCTTTTTAAAAATAATGTATTTATTATGTAATTAATTTTACCTTCTGCCCTTCTCATGTAACTGTACATCTATGCAAACAAATGGTTTTGTAAATGCTTCTGGATGCTAAATAATTTCTACTTAATAATAATGTTGGGTTTTTTGTTTGTCTGTTTCTCTGCAGGCCTCCATATGTAGAAGCAGCCAGCCTTTATCTGGCTTTAGTGCTCGGTGCCTTGAGGACGAACAGATGCTCCAGGCCATTAGAAAAGCAAATCCAGGAAGTGATTTCATATACGTTGTTGACACTCGGCCCAAAGTAAGTGTATTAGATTTCTTGCATACAGCAAGACTGTGTAACTCCACAGATTGATCAGGGTTTATCAGGGGAATCTTAGCTAGGAACCTTGCCAGCATTGTTATCTTTAGGGGAATTTTTTCCTTTACACTGAGCTTTTCTCTTTTTGTTCTTAGCAAAATGTTAAGACACAGAAAAGTAAATAACTTCTAGTTGTAAATATTTACACACACATAGGAGCTATCTGTAACTATATTTCTGATGAGACTAGCAAAATCTAGTTCGCATTATAAAATGTTTTTACAGTTGTTCATAATGTTGCAAACCTCTGCCTGCTTATACTAAAATTTTCCATGCGTGTTTTCTCTTGCAAGTGGGAAAATGTCAATGACCTGTGCATAAAGACAAAGGAAAGACTAGTTACCAAAGTTACAAGAATGGAGGAGACTTCTTTGATTATCTCCAACAATTTTGTGGTTTTGAGAGAGAATTTGAAATTTGGTAAATAGTGATCTCAGATGCCATATCTCTGTAACTGACTGAAAATCTCCGGCCAAGATAAAAGCTTTAGAAAAATTACGCTGTGCAGAAGCATAGAAACTCAGTAACAATCCAGAAGAGGTTAGAAGCTAAAAAAACATTTTGTCCAAGTTATCATGCTAGCAAACAGCTCAAGGTGATGAAGATTATATAGACTTCATTATCTGGAGGTGGGAGCAGGGATATGTTCTTTCTTACACTATGAACAACTTCCCTGTTGAAGTGACCAAAGCACCTGAAGAAAAGAGACTAACAGGGCAAATCTTCATAAAATCCCTCATAGATGTAGGATGAGTTATAGCATGGGAAAAGGAAAAATGAGAGCAAAGGTTTGAGGAAAAGGAACAAGAAAGCTGTTTCAGTATCCTGAGATCAGGAGGCAGACCCTGAAAGGCAAGGTGGGTAAAGCTGAGAAACATGAAGAATGGAATGAGAAAGAGCAATCGTGGCAGAGCTGGAGCAGAAAAAAGGAACCTGCGTGGCTGGTGACTGCCTGCAGATGTGGGGACTGGAGGAAAGGTGCTGAGTGCTCACAATTGTGATGGAGGCAGGAGCCAGAAAATCAGGGCCTTGGTCTGCCTCATTGACCCAAGTCACACAGAGGACTGTAATCTGGGGACTGATTTCACCTTCAGTTCCTTCTTTTTTATTTGGAAAACGAGGATGGTACCACCTTACTGGTGGTCCTGAAGCAAGTGGATAGTGATGATTACTAGGAAAGGATTGGTATACCATTGTGTTCAGAACAGGCTTTCGATATGAAGTACAGACCTAGATGCCTAAATAATGTTTAACAGTTTTCTAGATGTAATAATAGTTACAGCTTGTTTCCTGCCTGATGATATTGGTACTCTTCCCCATTTAAGGCAGTCTTTGACTGATGGGATTTATTGCTAACGACTTCCTGACTTGGCTATTAATAATGTTTTACAATATATTATCAGGAAGGTCCCTTCCTGTAAACGTTTCTGATAAATTACTTTGAGACACCTTCTGTGTGCAGTGAAAAAAGCCTGTACTTTTTGGAGACTGTGGAGAGAGTGGAATTGGCTTGCCTAGCTATGAATGCCAGCGTATTTCCAGCAATGCTGGCTCCCTCAGGAGTCAGTCAGGAGGTGAAGACTATTTCTTTTCACTGAACTTTTCTGTAAAAAAAGGTTTTGATGTAAAGAAATTTGTATACCAGGTTCCTACTTCGCTCTGTGTTGCAAAAATGGACTGATTTACTGAAGCTGCTGTGATCCCAGGTGCCAAATACAACCTTGTTTCAATTTTACACCTGCTGATGCATTTATAAATCTAGAGCATAGAAGGGAGAGGTATCAGTGGAAGAGGTTCCTGGCATTCCTCGAGGAACCTTAGCAAATGTAAAGCTAAGATATGGAGTCTGGTGCAAGGTTTCCCATTGCTGTAGGAGGCCAAAAAACTATTTTCTTATTTTCTCATCAGAACCAGTTCCTTGCAAAGATTGTTAATATTGGTGGGTCCTTCAACTGAACATTCCCAAGTGCTCTTCATATGCTGTCCCTCACTGCACTTGGTAATCTTCAAAACAAAAGATTTGGCCGTACAAGAAAGTTTTGTTTCCACTTCATTTGAATATACCAGGATGACCAAATGCAGAACTCTACTTAGGCCACTGTCTTTCCTTTATGTGATTCCAGAAGAAGCTCATACGAACTTACTGTTTATAGCTAAAACACATTAGTTATATACTCTTTATAAAAAGACACAACTTGGTTATTCTCCAAATTAAAGAAAATGCCAGGAAATCTTGCAAGTGGGGTCTGTTACCTTTAGAGGTTGTATACTCATATTCACTGAGATTAATCGAGGACAGGCACCATTTAGAGAACTTCACAACAACTACTTTAAGAGCAACAGATGGAATTTTGGTAGATGATGTGGAAAACTTGTTAGTAAATATTGTGGCAGCTGCAAAGTTTGGCAACTGATAGTATTTAAAATAAATGAGTGTCAGAAAGCCCTGCAAATTTAACCTTATATTTATTTACTTTTAAAGAGGACTATTTCAGATTTTCTTTTAAGAAAGGATTTCTGTGATAAAATTGCTCTGCTGCAGAAACAGTTAATAGTATTTATGTACTGAGGATTAGGTCAGTTAGAGGACAGCTGTTTTTTCTTTAGGATTTCAGGGGTTTCTGCTGGCTTGGACTCGTGTGTACAGATCTTTCTTCCTGAAACTATAAGGCTATTGCAGAGAGGGATTGCTTCATTTTGTTTGTTAAAGAACACTGATGTCTATTTCAAAAGAGAAAGATTAGGATTCAGCAGATAATTTATACCTTTCTATCAAGTCAGACTGAGGATTCTGTCCTTAATTGACATGCTGCTCACAGGCTGTATCTTTTTTTTTATTGTTCATTGATAGTCAAAACATCAACAGACTGCTGGTTGATAGACAAGCATGGATGTTTTTGCCTTCACTTTTTCCTGAACTGCATACTACGAGTTTAAAGAAGTCTTACACAAGATTTAAATAAATAAAAAATGCTAGTGTTACGCTTAAGTTCCCATCTTAGAGTGTGGTTTCTTCTGTTGTATCATGAAATTCATGCAATGTTTCAATTCCTAATGGTGGTCCACAAATGTAACTTTTAGCTGTTTTCTCTGAAAGTTAAGATGTCAAGTTTGGTCCTTGGAAACCTATTTTGACATATGATGTAAAAAAGCTAGGCTTATTCATCTTGGTTGGAGGAAAGTTGGCATACAGTGGCTCCAAATTAAAACAGAATATCAGGCGCATGTGTGTTTGGGGTGGAAGAGGTCAGAAAAAGGGACATTCTTGTGTATTCCATGATGCCATTAGTCAAGTAGTGAAGTATATTATTGTGAGTTTCAGAAGTGACCACAGAAGCAGCAAATCAATAGTACTGCCTGCGATATTGGGAAATAAACTGGAAATGGAGTTATCACCATAGCCTCTTGTCCCTTAGGCAATGCCTAAAGGATACTTTGTTTCAATTTTTTTCATGAGCATTGGCTCTCACTGAAAAGAAGATGAGTCACTGAGTAGAATTGATGCCTCGTGAAGTCTTTCCGAAAGCTTTGTTAGTGCCCTCCAGTTTGGATGTGCAATATCCTTTGTTACTTATTTCTTAAATCTTTCCTGGGCAGAAGCTGTTAGTTGTGCTTGGAGGCATGGAGGTCCTGCCATTTGGACTGCTTTGTCACTCCTGGAGCCTTCATATTTCTTGGGAAGTTCAAAGGCTCCCCAGCCTTACATCATGGATTTCATAGAAGAGCAGGGACTTCATGCAAAAAGACAATTTCTTTCTATTGCACAGTGACATCTTGCTATAGGAAATTTAAAAAAGTAGATGGGGTAATGAAGTGAAAGTACTTACTTCATTTCTATCAGCATGAGTTGTCAGCCCAAAGATCAAAATTTGGCATAAGGAGCTTTTCTTTTCCACCCAAGGATCTCAAAAGGGGGGTGGGGCAGGGGGGAATAAGCATTGAAACACCCTTAATTTTATGATGCGGAGAACTGAATTAAAGAACTGTTTTGTGACTTTTCCATGTCAGGAAACAAGTAACAGATTTAAAGACGAAACTTCAGCTTCCAGCTGAATGGGTTTTTTTGCTGAAGCACAGCAACTTATTTGATAGCACCACATTACCAATGAACATATCTGTGGTAATTTTGTCAATTCAAATAATTTGTGGTCTTGCACAACTCAAGACAAGATATTATAAAATGAGGAAAAACTACTCCAACTCTCTCTTCATTATTCCAAGCATCTATCAACTTTTGGATGATCTGAGTAGTAAAACACAGTAACTTCGGCAACATTAGTGTGCACATGCATGGCAGATAAGACACTGCCACCTGCTGGGTGTATTCTGCTAGTAAACTTGATGCTTCTGTAATATAAAATCAAAATAGGCTTTTAAAACCAAATTAAAACTTTCATGCTCTTGCAGAGGAACCCTACCTAAGCTATGTTTTTTGTGTTTAACCTCACTAAAGAAGTTCACTCAAAAGCTGTGAAATCGGGATATCAGAGACTCAGAAACCCAGCACCCTGCAATAGCCTGGAAACAGATCCCTGATTCACAACCTGTTGTGTTGACATTGTGATAAATGCTTGCCTGACTTAAATCACTCTGATTTATTGCTGTAGACCACAAGCTTTGTTTTGAAAAGAAATTGCTACTGGTTTTCATCCAGTTTTCCATATGTTTTTCAGCTCAATGCAATGGCAAACAGAGCAGCAGGGAAGGGATATGAAAATGAGGACAACTACTCCAACATCAAGTTTCAATTCATAGGCATTGAGAACATCCATGTCATGAGAAATAGTTTGCAGAAAATGCTTGAAGGTAATACTCTTTTTCATTGGAAACTAGAGGAAAGAATTGATCCTTCTGTCACACAAATCAGGGTAACTGCTCTGAAATCAGCAGCTGTGAAAACAGGTATGAAAAGAAATCTTTGCCTGTTGCAGCTGCATGCAGCTGCTACTGGGACTTGGGCAATGGAGCATCATGGCAACTAGTGGTGCTTTTCTAATTGTACAAACATTTTGTTTCATGGCTGAAATCCAAATTACTTAAGTGACAAAATTCATTTGACTTCAATGCACCTTACTACTACTATATCTTTTTTTTTGAAATTTACACTTTGGTGGTAAAATGAGGAAAATCACTTACAGCTGACTTTGAGGCTAGCGGAAAATACAGGATTTTTATTTTAAAGCTTAGAAAAACTATGGTTTGATTTTGCGTGTGTGAAAGGCAGTCATGCATTTTAGGCTGTGAATTTTAACAGATGCTTATTCATGCTCTGTATAGAACATGACACATCAGGGCTATTCGTGAAATTCACAGTCAATGGGCATAACCATTCAGCACCTTCATAATCCCATCCAAATTAATAATAATTGCTTAGCAGTATGTAAACCAGCACATCTGTTCTTCTGTTTCATATTTGGAGTGCATGACTGTTTAGAGGTCATCTGGGAAAAGAGTAAGGATAAATAAGCCATCCTTGACCCTCAATGGCTTGTTGATTTTTAGAAGCAAATTGTAAATAGTGCTCACTCCAGTGTCTCAGTATTTCCTTCATGTACATCATCAACAACCATCACCTCCTAGATCAGCCTGATTTAGCTATTCTTGACTTGATGCTCTGTCCATGCTCTTTTATTCTTCATCTGTCTCCCATCAACTGTATGCAAATGTAAATTGGAGATCTAAGAAGGGTTTAAATTTTTCATGACAGAAAAGCTGTGCTCTAGTTTAAAATAAGAGCATTTTATGAAAACCAGCATTAAAATGTGATGCAGGTAAAATGGTCAGTCTCTTCATGACATATTTTTACTTAATTCCTTAGTCTAAGGGTCTCAGGTAGGAAAACAGAAGGATTTTTAGTTCACTAGGAAGTCTTGTTTGGCTAGGAGAGAGGCTGGGTCAATGAACAAGTCCCTTTATTTGTTCACATGAAGACCACCAAAGATAAAATAGTAAACAATCAGCCTGGCTGCATGGGGCAGTACTGTGTATACTTTTTGAGCCAAAAGTTCATGAGACTGGTCCATGGCCAAAACTTACATGTAACAAGATAATTTCTAATGCATTTAACACTTCAGGCTGCTTGGGGAGCATAAATTCTTAGCATCTATTTTCAAATGAGCTGTATGCTCAAAACATTTGCTTTTCTCCTAAGTGTCCTGTTTCCTCCATGTGTCCTGTTTCCTCCTCTCCTCCTGCGAAATGGGCACACCACTGGATTTCTCAGAGCTCTGCCTAAGGTCTCTTGATTTTCCTGAGCCTATGCCATGGATGCGCCAGGCCTTATTTTTCAAAGATTTTGGTACCTTTTCTTCTGAGATGGAAATACCTTTTCCCCTTAGTATAAGCCTCATAATTGAATTCATAATCAAACCCAGTATTGAAGGTCCAGATCTGTTGCCAAAATCATGTGAAATATACAGTGTATGCCTTTAGGACAGTCTGAACTTTGCTCAGTGAAGTGGTCAGTAAATATTGACTCTAATTGGGCAGTGGGAAGGAGCAAAGCACTGTTTCAGCCTTACCTTGGGCTTTTGTAAACAAAGACAGCAGCTTCAACCAGAATTCAGCCACTAAGTGGTCATGCTTCCATCTGCACAGCAGCATTAATCATATGAAAAGCTGTTTGCTTTCAGTGCTGCTATCTCTGCATCTTTATAAATATCCTTCAAAAATTATTTTTAAAATAACCATCTGGAAAAGGCCTTACATACAAACATTGTAAGACTTTGTATGGATACATTAGGCCATTTTATTTTTTAATTAAATGGAGTTAGGACAGTCCAATAGCCCAGATATGGTATAAAATCTGACTTTGGCTTATAAAATTAAATTTCAATTACAGCGAAGGAAACTAAAATTATCCCAGTGGCCATAAATAACCGAGTCTTTTAAGATGTCTGAACTACAGGAGACCTACTAAGACATTAGTTATTGACAGATCATACATTAATGTGGTAAAACCCATGATATTTTTCACTGTATTCTGAAAATGAATTTCACCGGCTAATATTTTTTCCTTAAAAAACAGTATGACCCTACATGGATCAAAAGAAGGGTATAGTCTATTTATGGGGTGAATTTAGTATCTCACTGTTGAAAACAGACTGCAACAAATTTCATTGAGTATTTGTTTGCTGCTGGGCTGAGGTATTTGATTTAGATTCTGATTGCCCTTTTTTTCTTCTAATGCCCCAAACTCTCTAATATTAAAAATTAGACACTTGGATACAGCCAAACCTAAACTTAAAGTAAAAACTGAGAGATTATAATTTTTTCCTTCAAACATGGCATAGAATTTGGAAGGTTTTCAGGAAAACATTTTCCTTGATGAATTATGGCTTGTCCTCACCATCGGAATACTTTCTGACTCTAAGTGAAGCTTTAGTAAGCTTTCATTCTGGGATGGAGAAGTGTAGAGTGAATTGCTTTAATTCAACCACCATCATCTGTGGTGATGCTGGGAGTAGAAGGCTGTGGCTTTCTGCCTGTCTGCCAGTAGAAATCATGTGCTTTCTGTTTCCAAGCCCTCATTATTAAATACACAAGCCCCTCCCAGGAGTTTGAAAACTTCACTCCCAACACAATTTTGGAAAATCTGTGCTTCACAGAAGGATGCATTTGGTAAACTGTTTGTAATAGACTTTATGACAGCTTCTCTTTTTAACTTAAATCAACATTCTGGGTGAAATTTGACCAAGCCCTGTTTCATAAATATATGTGCTTTTTCAGTTGTGAAGTTTGACTCTGAAGTAGTCATTCTTTTGAAAAGATGCATGTTTTACACGGGTTATCTGAAGAAGAGATAATTCTGAGGCTGAACAGTCAGTGAGGCTTTAGGGACTCTAATTACGATATGTTTAAAATGTAGCTTATTTTGCAGTTTGTGAGCTGAAATCACCTTCAATGAGTGACTTCCTATGGGGCCTAGAAAATTCTGGCTGGCTGAAGCATATCAAAGCCATTATGGATGCTGGCATTTTTATTGCAAAGGTAAAGTGTGTAAAATGACATCAGAACTTACAGTAATCAGACACAGAAAGTGAGGACCAAATTCACTGCTTGTGGGTAACTTCTTTTATCTCTTCAGTGATGTTATACCTGAAAATAGCCCATCTTGCAATGCATCATGTATGAGGAGAGATGTTTCTTAGATGCTGTTGTGTGGACCTTTTGCTAATGTGATAAAAAAAGCTTGTGTCCCTTTGTACTAAAGCCTCTACTAGCCCTTAACTTGTTATGCCAGGCATTTGAATGTCCTTACTTTACTCCCCAGCAGTGATTGTTACAGTTCCTTTCCCTATTTCCCCTGCCTCCTCCACTGGTTTCTGGACATTATCTTTGTTGAAGGTTTCTGCTATTATATAAAATTAACTAATGTGTTATCCCCTCTGAGTAATCAGGCAACCAGCTAAATTCACCTCCTGGACCAGTTCCTGTGTATTGCCATGGCCAAACTCTCTAGCAGTTTCTACTCTTATATATTTGAGAAATATTCCAGAAAACAGTTGTTGGCTTTAATAAGAAATTATTTCTTCTAATCTCACCCAAAGTAATGCAGATATTTGTCATCTACCAAGAGCTGCTTTAATTTTATTGCTTCCTTCCTTGTGCTCTTTTACTGCTATTTTTGAGATTACTATTACAATTTCTTATAGGGCATTTTATTCACATGATGTGCTACATACAACTGTATGATACAACTGTATGATGTGCTACATACAACCATATAGATAAAACTTCATGGATTTCCCTCCTCACTAACTGCTTGTTTCTCTTGCTCTACTACCTTTCATTAGCTAATAGAAATCAGGTCTTTTACATTAGCTTTGCCAACTTTTCCCCAGTGGCTAGTCTTAAAATTCTGTCAAAAAATGTTATCCTTTATTGATAAGCTTGTTAGCCTTGTGCCTTCTCGGACATGCATTTTGAACCATTCTTATTTGTACAGTTCCCAGTTCTTAGTTCTTGGTCCTCTGCCCACAGGGCTTCTATTTTAGTAGAATTAATTTGTCTCTTGAGATTAACATAGAAAATTTATTATTATTCCTCATTCCCTATTAAGCCCAAACTTAATTTAAATGTTTATTTTTCTAAGCAGTGTCTTTCCTAACCTATTTTATTTTCTACTTCCTAAATTTAGTTCTCTTTAGAAATGACAAAGGCCAAAACCTCTAGAACTAAAAAAAACCCCAACAACCAACCCTCAAGTTCTAAAAATAATGCAACACCAGACTGGAGAATTTAGTATCATCTCTTCTTTATGTGTTTATGTATAAAATGGGATCCTCTCTCACCAGTTTTTACATTAAAGATACTGATAAAATCTTGCTTATTAGATATGGAAGTTTACCACTACCACAGGTTTCCCCACAAATCTTTGCAGTATGTCATCAGTGCAATGCAGTGTACTGTAATAACATCCAGGTTAGTGCTGGCATTGGAAGCAAAAATTGCCCTTATTGACATTACAATCAAGATGAGAAATTAAGAGCCATATTTTAAGTATGGTGATTCTGTTACTGGTATGTGAGTTAGAGCTTTACCTCCATCTGAATCTGCTGTAGGTACTTGTCCGCTCTGACAGGTTGATGTATTTAATTGAAACAAATCCCACCTCCTCCTATAGTGGGACTTAAACGGGTGATGCTCCACCACCATATTGCACAGGATGGGATGAATTAAGACTTTTCAAACAAAAGGAATAGCACGCAACATTATTCAAGAATTCTGTCGCAGAATAAAAAATTAACCAAGTTTCCCAGTTCCCATATTAATACTCTATGGTGCTATCTCACTGTTCTCCTCTTACCATTGTCTTCCTCCCTGCTTGTGAAATTTCTGACTTTTTCTGTGTCCTTAGGCTGTGGCTGAGGAAGGTGTGAGTGTGCTTGTTCACTGCTCTGATGGCTGGGATAGGACAGCCCAGGTTTGCTCTGTAGCAAGCCTTCTATTGGATCCATATTACAGAACTATGAAGGGATTCATGGTAAGCAGGTTCTTTTACAGAGTAAATAAAGTAATATGGCATCACTTAAGATTAATATCTTTTAATGGGAAATGGGAAATAAACTTTCCTTAAATATACCTTTTTTTTTTTTAAGTAGGAAGGCAGGTTTCTATCTGTCCACATTAAAGTCTTCCAATTTCTGTATGAAGTGTTATCAAAGGTGGGGATCAGTTGGGCACCTTTTTGTTTTTTTCCTAACTTAGACCAAGAAACTTTCTCGCAGTCCAAGGAGCTTTTGTGCAAGCAAGAATTTGTATTCATTTGCAGTAAACATTATAAATTTGAGTGTCAGAAGTGTGTGTTTTCTATGCATTAGATTGCAATGAGCAGCTGTGTTGGAAAATCTGTTCTTTTCCCATGTATATCAGCAGTGGTAAAGCATCTAGGAATGCTTATCAAGTTACTGGTCACATGTTAAAAAGGTGTTTGAGACATTTACAAGTTCTTTTCAGAAAGTGAGGAAGCAGGTTAATTGAAGTTGTGCTGAAATACTGGCATCCTATTTGCATCCATGAAGAGTGCTGCTTTCCCTGAGCTTGCAGCAGTGCTTATCACTCATTGTTTTTCTGCTAATTCTGAAAATTATTTGAGATTCTAATACTGCTTGCTTACATCATTCTTGCTTGTCACTGCTTATTCTAAGAATTAACTGGGATTCCATTGCTGCTTGTTTACACCACTCTTCTACCTGTTTCAACATGTGTCGACTCTACTCCACAACACTGAACACAATATTCTCATTTTAGGTGTTAATTGAAAAAGATTGGGTTTCCTTTGGTCACAAATTTAACCACAGGTAAGGTGGTGGTAAGGTTTTCATATATATATGTGTGTGTGTATGTGTGTGTGTGTTTACGTCGTCAGTATCTGCTGCCACTCCAGTTTTACTTCTTTGCTGCCTTACAAAGTATATCAACAGAACGCCCTCAGGAAACTGCCATACCTTTTTCTCCTACTATATAATTTATCTGTCTGGAAAAGTCAAAGGGAAATATTTTTGTATCAATCTTTTCTAGTACCTGCACTCCTAAACCACTATTGGGAATCCTGAGTGCTGGTCTTGCAGTTGCTGTGAGCACTGAGGGGTCCATGTGAGGGAAAAGTAGTATGTAAGTGGCTTGCAAAATCCCTTTGGACTCCAGCAGATCTTTCAGTAGTGCCAAGGCTCCCTGTTCAGCAAAGTCTACATCTTCCAAGACAGTACTTAATCTTAGGCATGCCTGTGAGTTAGCTCTTACATAAAACATACTCTTCCTATTACACTCTGTTCTAACAAAAACAGCAGGATTTGTTCAGAAATGTCAGGCAAAGTGAAGTGGAAAGTAATTTATTTGGGCAAGTTATTTTGAACATCCATCCAATGTAAGTGCTGTAATGTTTGAAGACTTTATATGTTTAAACATGGATAAATATTCACATTTTCTTTCTTTTTTGAATTTCCTTTTAGTTTCTGTAAAAATAAAAAGTGCAATTTTTATATTGGGGTTTAATTACATTATGTAGCTTGATTTGAATATAAATTTGTTATAGTTTAAAAAAACACAATAAAGCTTTCAGGAAATCTGTGCAGCTCCATACCACCTGTGAAATTCCAGCAGGAATTACTTCATTTAACATGATACTGTCAGTTGTCTATGATTATCAGTGGTAAAAGGTATTATGAAATGCAATAACCACTGGTAGCTTTGGTTTGCTGTGTGGTGTTGCTATATTTTCTTGGATAATAATATCAGAAGTTTCAAGTTTAGATGTTTAAGGAATTCCACTCTGTTGGTATGTATATATATACATATATACATAAATACACACACATGACAAGAATAATAATTGATTGAAAATGCTTCTTTCTATTATGTAGACTTATATTTTTTACTTCTATGTGTTTTATATTTTGAGGCTCCTTTTCTTCATTGCAAGTGGTTCCAAGAGGCATTTTTATGGATAGAAAATTTGATGTTCACTTGACAGTTACAGCATGTAAACATTTCCCACCTTCTAAAAATTTCACCAAGAGAGGGCAGATTTAACCTGTTATCTGCCGAGGTTATTCTGTACCTCTCCTGCTGTTTTCTGGTTTGGGGAATGGTCTGCTATTAACAGACTGTCTTAAGATACACTTTTGTCATTAAGTCATAGCAGTCATTCTTACGATGACATATTACTGTGGTATAACTTTATATTAATAGCATTAAAACATGGCTATGCAGCAGTCAGCTGTTTGTAGGGGGAAGGTAACAAGATACCCATAAAATGCTTTTTTTGTTTGTAATTCTGCTTTCATTCTACTCCAGATTCTTGCATCATTTTTGTAAGTAAAAAAATATACTAGTAGTTGAGATTTTAGAAATGAATGCCTATGATGTAAGCTGCACACTAGAAGTGAGGGGTTTGTTTTCATTAGTGTTAATTCAGTTTTCCTACAAGAATTCAGGTTTTAATTAAATGTATCTTGTCTTGTTTCAGGTATGGCAATTTAGATGGCGATCCAAAGGAGATATCACCTGTTATTGACCAGTTCATTGAATGTGTTTGGCAATTAATGGAACAGTTTCCTTGTGCCTTTGAATTCAATGAGAGATTCCTCATCCACATACAGCATCATATCTATTCTTGCCAATTTGGGAATTTCCTGTGTAACAGCCAGAAGGAGAGACGAGAGCTGAAGTATGAAAGTAGCATATTATGCATTTGATTTCTTTAGCAGCATATTTACCTATGGGGTCTGTGGCTAGTGGTGTATTGAGGAGTCAGACATTAACCTGCAGTCTAACTCCAGTCTGACATTAACATCCAGTCGGCATGTATGTGTTTTCATAAGGCATGGGGTGCCTGTTGTCTTCTGGCAACACAGATTAATACCACAAAAAGTTGATCCTCTGCAGTGTAGCTCTGCTGGGAGTGTAATCCATGGTGTGCGTGACAGAGATTAGTGAAAACAGACAAGAGCATTAGTCCTTCAGCCATGTGGGCCTACCTTTACTGCAGCCCTAACAACATACAAGGCAAGCTGTCCCTCTAGCTCTAATATAAGATGATACTAACTCTAGTTAAGTTCTCAGTTCAAGAGTTACTGCTCTTCTGTGTTTTAACCTGTCTTTGGATCCCAAGTCAGGCCATTTAGTTCTGTTCTCTCAGGTACTTCCTCACGAACAGCCTTTTTGTCTGGTAGCCCTCCCTAGGACTGAGTCAGCAAACTATCCCTCTGCTGCCCAGCCCCAAAGCAATTATGAATTAATCTTCCTGCCCTTAGGCCCGAACAGAGACAGCATCATCATTCCCGGCAATGCTGATGTTTGTATCCATTTCCTGGGGCCCTGGGGCCTCAGTACAGGATGATATCCATCACTTTTCTCATGTACCCTGATCATGTCAGCAGTAGCAATGAGACGAAGGTGGCAATTACTGCTGGCTGCTGCCATTTGGTCCCTTTCACTGCTTATGTGCAGAGTAGCCACAGTGCCACAGTCCATTTAAAATCAAAACCTTCACAGATCATCATATCCCAAGACCCAATTGCATAAGAAATTACAGTTCAGTGGGGTAGGAGTGCTTTTAAATGTGGGCATCCTTTTGGTGCAGAGATCAGCCTGAAAGCTTACTTTATGCAAGTGATCCTCTTCACCTTGCAAAGGAACCAGTCTCTCCACCTTTTCTCTCCAGCTACTCTTGCTTCATGGGAAATGGATTGGATTTTGCCTTTCATAATCAACAAGGGAATATGGGTCTGTTTCTCTATACTTCTTAAGTCTGATTTTGGTAAGGAAGCTGATTGTAAATGGGGAGTACAGAGGACTAGTATGCTCCACCTAAGCTTTAGCTGTTCCTGAACTGTAGCAGACACTTTAATATATTTTTATTTTTTTTTCAGAATCCAAGATCGAACATATTCGTTATGGGCTCACTTGTGGAAAAATCGTGCTGATTACCTGAATCCTTTATACAGGTCAGACCACAGTCAAAACCAAGGGACCCTGCACCCACAGATAGCTCCATGCAACTTCTTGTACAAGTAGGTACTATCACTTGCTACAGAAAATTGTAGGATGCGTTAGTACAGAACAGAGTGACTTCATATACAAGTATTTCTCATTCTGTAAGGCAGTTTATAGAGAGGAAATTCAATCTCATATACAATGTGTTTGCTCCTTGTGTGCTCATAGCCAGCAAACACCTCTGCACGATTCCACAACAGAGTATTAGTCTGAAAAGAAGCTTAAGATTAAAGCTATATTGATAGTTGTGTGTCCTAATTTCATGGTTACTCACTTCTTCCACTGAGATATGCCTCTTTGAATTCTGTTCTTGTCTGTGATTTCTAAATTTATAGTTGCTTTAACTTCTTCCATCCCAAGATTTTTTGATGTTTATTTGGATCAATTGGTGTCAAAAATAAAAACGATCTTTTCAAGAAATTATATGGTTTCATTGCTAAAACGAGTGTTTAGTAAAACAAAAAGGAGACTTTCCCCATGTTGTTGTTATACCTCAAAGTGAGTTTTACTTGATATTTTTTAAAAAATGTAACAAAATATCATCCTTTTTGAAACATTACTATTGACATTCTGACTTAGTTGTGCCATTAATCTTAACACATTTAAGGAGAACTTTAATAGAAATTCATGAAAATTGTGATTTAAGTAAAACTGACCAGTTTGTTTTCCAGTTGCAAGTAATAGCACCTGTTAAAAACTCAATAAAAATCCTAAATGACAGAAATTTAATTCTTTCATGTCTACTATACCAGACTTCAAAACAATTTAAAAATAGTTATTAATCATATTCTTTGGGAGAGTGGGATTTATAAAAGAAGTACTGATACAACAGTATCAGTACAGATACAATGGATGAGTAATCCTGCTGATTTTAATGGAAGTACTTGGGTGCATAACGATTTCCAAGCAGGAGCTATCAGATGATAAACTTAAGGGGGAATGTGATTAAATAGTATACTATTGGAATAGGAATAATAAGACACCAATGAGCACGCACGTGCTCCGAAAATATCTGTCAGCTACTTGGCTAGACAGCTGCAGCTGATGGCAGGGCTCAGCTACTTAACCTGTCTGCTGAACTGGTTACACTCAGAGTCTGGTTGTGGCCATAGTGTCAGGAAGGCAGAAGACAGAAGAGCCCTAGAGTAAGCTAGAGTCCTTTCCTCCTGAAAATGAAAAATCAACTCAACCATTTAACTAAAGGTTTGTCAAGTAATTCCACAGATCAGGAAGAGAAATTGCCAGTGTATATAATTGCTTCATCCATAGGCAGTTTAAAATGTCAGTTTAAATTGTAAGAGAACAGGACACCATACTGTTTTTTACTCATGATTTTTAACCCTTTTTTACAGTGGACCCCCCTCCCATTAACTATCTACACCTCCCCGCCCCCCAGCCCCAGACAAAAACAAGCATACAGAATCTCAAAATTGACTTCATGAGAAGTTAAACAACTGAGAACTAGGAATATGAAAAACTGTCTTTACCCTTGGCTGTTTTATAAGTACCAATGCTCTGGAGCCCATAGTGTAGAACAACAAAATAATAAAAAAAAAACTCCACAAAATTTTGCATTCAGCCATGTGATCTAAGTCAAAGCTAGATTCGTCTTTCTTTTTATTAAATATCAAAATTGGTTCAAGGTGCTTATGTCCACAGAGTTGCACCTTCAGGACAGAGCAAATGCAAATGAGCAACGAATCTTGCCAAATACTCTATGAATTTATGTGTATGCACTCTAATGACACATAAGCCATGGATGGATCATTTAGAACAATGTCTGGGGAAAAAAAAAAAAGAAAGAAAAAAAGAGTGTGCATTTATGTCTCATGATGCTACCTCACTAAAAGAGAAAATTCCTGACCTTCCCATTAATTCCAGGTTCTGGAGTGGTATGTACAACCGCTTTGAAAAGGGGCTGCATCCTCGACAGTCAGTTACTGATTATCTGATGGCAGTGAAGGAAGAAACTCAGCAGCTGGAAGAAGAGCTGGAGGTCTTAGGAGAGGTAATAAACACTTGAGCTTGATACCCCAGACTTGGTAACTGATGAAACCCAATTCCATATGCTGTGGAGTCACCTACACACAATCCTTTTCTGGAATGAGGATGTTCATCTGTCATCTTTGTTTTCAGATAAATTGTCACGAATGTTTTGCATTAAGACACAGAAGTGGTCTTTTATTCTTTAAGGATGAAATTTTACCTGTGTTGGTGCACAAGTACTACTGAAAGTGAGTTTAATCCTTCTGTAATTCAGAAGGAATTGTAGCTCAGAAGGCTGCTGTAAATCACCATTGGTTTGTGAGAAATTGTGCACTTCTCATACTCCACAGACAGTTTTAAAGGGTGCTAGTTGGGTTGGGCTCTGAACTTATATTTAAAAAAAAAAAAGGCAAAGACACAGAAGAGGATTACTGGCCCTAAATGTGTGCATGTAATACTGTTTCCTTTATTTCAGCGATTGGCGAATCTTCAGAAATCACAATTAGGTGCTAATAAAGTCAAGAGTAAGCAAGAAGACCGAAGCAAACAGTTAAGGCTGTCTACTTCCAACAATAGCTTAGCTAACACTCCCCAGGAATATAGCAACGATCTGAAGTCATTCCCATCCCGGAGTCCTTCACAAGGGGATGAAGAAGATTCTGCCCTGATTTTGACACAGGACAACCTGAAAAGTTCTGATCCTGACCTCTCAGCCAACAGTGATCAGGAGTCTGGTGTGGAGGACTTAAGCTGTAGGTCCCCAAGTGGGGGTGGCTGCTTGCCTAGTGAAGACAGTGGCAAGGACTCTGATGAGGCTGTATTTCTGGCGGGCTGAAACACCTTCACGGCAGCAAGGATCCAGATGAAGTTGAGTCTTACACAGTCTGGAATGACATCTTTTCATCAGATGAAGAATGGAAGTGGTCTGTACCCTAAAGAAATAATCCAAAGAAAGGGAACTGTGCAATTGTGTAAGTAAAGATCTAAGCAGAACAAGCTCATTAATTTTAAGACATAATGCTAAAAAAGGTAATATCTGCTGTTATATTTAGTTAAGCTAATGTGATATTTGTTTATCAATGCTGTACATAATTATTCCTTACTTTGTACATTTCCATAATTATTTATTGTACAAGATAATAGTTCTTCTCCAAAGATGTGAAATTCCAAAGTACTCTCTTACACAAGGTTGAAGATGCATTAGTGTTAGCTTTACGGGTGAAGCTGTCAAAACTTATTTTTGTAGAGTTCTTCTGCCTTCAGATATATTATGTATATTTTGTTTTCATAAGAGGTGTTAAATTTTGAATTCAAACAATTATTTTGCATATCCTCCTACTAGAATTCTTTACAGCAAAGTAAAACTAACAAATTGACATGCTGGCTAAGGGGAAAAATGAAGCTTTGATCCTGATAAAAAAATCCTTTAGTAAGCAGTTTCTGCTGCTGCATGTGAATGCATCCCACTTCTACTTGGTTCTCAAGCAGTGTTGAAAGTTCAGTAGTTTCTGTGACCAAAACTTCAAAGGAATATAACAATAATCACACAGCCTTTGTGCTAAAGCACCCCTTTATAACAAAAGGTACATTAGGCAGTTTACTCTAGCCTCTTTATGTTTAGTTCTCAAGTTTGTTTCTATCTTACCCTAGTTCCAAACCACCTACCTAAAATTCTAAAGGTAGTAAAATTCCAAATTCTCCAGCCTATTCTGATTCCTACTTGAAAACGTTTTATTTGAGTCAAGTGAGGTACATATATAGTGCAGAGGATAGAGAATATAAAACCATTTACAAAAATCACTTACGAAAGCATCACTTTCGTGATGCTTCACTTCTTTCGTAAGTAAAGAAAGGTTATGCCCATAAAGGAACTGTTATAAAGAATATTCCTTCCAAATTCTGTTGTTCAAAATAAACTAACCATTAGCAACCAGTTTTTCTGTCTTCACACAAAATTTCCCTTTTAGTATTTGCCAAACTGAAGAGCATGGCAATACTAATTTAAGAACTGATTCAACATTTACCAGGAAGTTTAATCTTATCATATTTTTAAGAATAGGAGTAATAGTTTTCATAATCATCAGTACAGAAGTAAACAAGTGAAAAATGTTTAAAATTTGAAATGTCTTGAAACTCACTAGAAAGGTGGCCAAATTAGGCTGCAATTCTTCCAAGTTTCTTTTTTATTTTTAAATATTAGTTAAAGCAAGCAGTTAAAAATATAGTTCACATGACTGCTCTTACCTGCTTGGAGACAATGTGGTATTGAACTCTAGTAAAGCAAAGTGGTAGTAATGTAAGTTTACTTTGACTGCATTTCACATTACTCCTCCAAATAAAGACTTACAGACATAGTTGTATTATATAAATATGCTTCAGTTTAGAATTGTTAGATTTTATTACATTTATGGAATGGTTTTCATTCTGTTCTGTGAACTTACATTATTAAAAGTGAGTATGTAAACTTCAGTATTATTAATATCCTCCTAAGGGAGCTGCTGTCTTTGAACAAATAATTCCTAACAGCAAGGTTTATCTTAATGTTATAGTGGAAAGGCCAGATCCTCAATTTGATAAATCCCTATAGCTCAATTCAAATAAATACAACTCTAAGGTATACTCTGTTGAGAATCTAGCCTTCTGTTTTTAATCTTTATGAATTTTTAATAAATTAAATCCCTGATTTTAATTGCACTTTTAAAAATGTTTTGTATTTTGAACATAGCCTGTAAAATTTATGCTATTAGAGACTTTGAATGCATTTTCTCAAACTAAAGAAATATGCTGCAAAGTCAGAAACGAAAACAAAACATACAAATATTCTACCTAAAAATGAGTTTGAAAATGGGCAATGTTATCGCACATCTTTAAAATATAAAAATATATATGATATTGTGTCCTATTAGACATGTCCAGAAATAAATGCAGAACAGCAAGATACGCAAATTCAAAGCACTGTCTTTGTGTCGCTTATGTAACTCCATGTAACTAGCTTTACAACTAAAATATTAACGTTAACATTTTCTTTATCAAGCCTCCACTTAGCAGCCCTCTGTGATGTGTCTTTCAGCCTTTGAAATTTTGCATTAGCTGCTATTGTTTTCACTGTACTGCATGTATTTGTGGCATTATCAGGCTAATGAGAAACACTTTCAAATAAACACTTAGGTGTAATTTAATTTTATTTCACACCAGTGAGTGAAAGAAAGGTTTGCTATCCTGATTTTTGTACTGTAGTTTTTCATTTACTCAAGAGTCACTTTGCCACTAAGAACAGGGAATTTTTCTATCTTCCTTACTTTGATACTTTAATCCAGTAGTTTTAAGCTGTGGAGAAATCTACAACTGATAACTAAGAAAACCAAGACTCTCAACAATTGTGTTAATAATATGGAAGCATGTTACAGCCCTGTATTTATTTTTTTTAGGAAATGCAAACCAAAAAAGATTGAGAAAACCATACAAGGAACTACACTGATTTCTTGTAGCCTTGTGCTGCAAACCTTTGCAAATTTGGCATAAGCCCACTGTAATTTGAAATGCGACACAGATGAACGTAGTTAAACTGCTGAAAAGGCCTCTCTAGGTTCAGGCTGGTCTTTAGTACGAAAATGTGCCTCTAAAGGACACTGAAGGGAATGGGATCAAACAGCTGAAGCCTTCTCTACAGAAGATCACCAGCTGAAGCACAGAAGGAAAACCTATTCACTAGCTGCTTTTACTGGTAGCTCTGTACAAGAGAGAAAAAGGTGATAAAGTGCAAATGGATTCTAAAAATCTGAGAAATAGAATTAAAAAGTTGGAGGGCACAACTCAGAGCAAATATCATTAGAAGTAAGAAGAGAAAAAGAAAATAAGTAAAAGGAGGGAGGCAGGGAAGGAAAGCTCTTTGTAAAATCAGCAAGTAAGGCAGGGAACCACAATCTTTGAAGACGGGGCAAGCCAGAGCACAGGTTCATATAGCATAGAATATGTTTAATGACACAAACTAATAACAATTAAGCCCCAGCAACAACTAAGAGATAGACTTTGCAATGAAGATAAGCATGTCATCACTGTTGACTAGCTAACTTGATGCTTTTATGTGGATGTTGCCCTGATCTGCACACAGAGTTCTCAAGTAGATCACAAACACAGTCAAGGTCAGGGGCTGTTTCGGGGTGCAGGCTGAAGGCTGAGTGCAACTTTTAGGTTAGTTGGTCACCCTTATGCTCTGTAGGGAAGAGACAGGTAAACACCACAGTGACTGAAAAATCCTCCAAGGACAGGAAAGTCACTGACAGTTCATTTGGGAAGGGAGAAACATGTGGTGGGTCAACTTATCACAGTACTAAGACTCATGAAAAATCCACCAAAGATCTAGAGACAAGCGTATTGCAAACCCTGAATTCAGAGAGGTCAGAAACATTGGCAGAGTGGGGCAATAAGAAGGTAAAATTAAGCATTTCACTTTACCTGTCATATTTAAATTGCCAGTAGAGCACCTGAAACCAGCAAATCAAATCATGCTAAACCTTAAAATAAAATGTAGTGGTCTTTTAATATAAATCATTCTGGAAAGAAGCTAATGAAACCTTAGAGGTCCACCAGAATTGTGACTGAGTTCAGGCAAGGACTCACTTTTTTAAGTCTGCTGGTTGCCAAGGTTTTTTGGATGAATTTATTCCCTTTGTGGAGACTAAAGAACACAGTTATTTTATGTAAAGTATTTCCTTACTGTTGATATACAAGCTTTCTTCATAGCTTATTACTGTAAATGTGATGTCTACAAGGTATCTGACCAAAACAAGGTGCTTACAAAAGCCAGAGATCCAGTATGGGTTTTCAAAGCCTGTTTCAATGAAGGTGGCTCCAAGAATTACTGCTATTGAAAGAGTTAAACATGAAAAGCTCACATCACTACTCATGAAGATATTTTCTCCTTCAGTAGCTTACTGCATCCATTTCCAACATAATTCTGTATCCACTCAAGAAGTCCTGCAATGTCAAATGCCTGACTCTATCCGTTAGATGATTACAAGATATATTAAAATCCCAAAGCCTTTATTTGTAAGTTTAACACATTACAGCATTTACTGTTCAGAATAATGACACAATTACAGCTGATAACTTTGTTGTCAGAGTTTTAATTCAGTTTGACCTGAAGGTCTCTTAAATCTCCCTTTTAGAAAGATTTATGCTAGTCTTTGATGGGAGTAGTAAGAATTTGGACATGAATAAAACTGTAAGATTTCTAACTTATACATTTGGTCCAGGTCCAAAGCAGCAAAACTGCAGGAGTATGTACAGAGCAAACAGAACTATAGTACATACTGCTTAGAACTGACTTTACCATAATAGTCTCTTGCTTGCAGTGGTGCCTAGCACAGCAGAGTGCCTCCTCAGCAAGTTTGCTGATGACACAAAGCTGGGAGGAGTGGCAAATACTCCAGAGCGTTGTGCAGCCCTTCAGAAGGACCTCAACAGGTTGGAGAGATGGGCAGAGAGACCTTCTGAAATTCAGCAAAGGCAAATGAAGAGTCCTCCACCTGGGAAGAGTATTTCTGGGCTCCTCCGTACAAGAGAGACATGGAGCTCCTGAAGAAGGCCCAGCAGAGGGCAACAAAGATAATGAGGGGACTGGAGCACCTCAGTGATGAGAACAGGCTGAGGGAGCTGGGCCCATTCAGCCTTCAGAAGAGACAACTGAGAGGGGACCTCATCAATGTCTGTAAGTATCTGAAGGGAGGGTGTCAAGAGGATGGAGCCAGGCTCTTCTCAGTGGTGCCAAGCAATAGGACAAGAGGCAATGGGGAGAAACTGATGCACAGGAAGCTCCAATCGAATATGAGGAAGAACTTCTTTACTGTGCAGGTGACCAAGCACTGAAGAGACTGACCAGAGAGGTTGTGGAGTCTCCCTCAGTGGAGATACCTAAGAACTGTCTGGATGCAATCCTGTACCATGTGCTCTAGGATGCCCCTCCTTGAGCAGAGAAGTTGGACCACTGTGGTCCCTTCCAACCTTACCCATTCTGTGGTCCTGTGATTTAGCTCCAAGATCAGGCATTCAAATTAGGCAAACCCCAGGCTCAATTAGCAGTTACAATACAGAATGTACTTCCCCCCCAAAACTACTGCAACATCAGAGACAAGCCATCTTCTTACTCTTATTTCTTGCTCACTGAGTTCTCTTTCCCACTTGGCAGAACACCTGAGGATGACATAGTGCAAGGCTCCCAAGAAACAAGTCACTGTACGTAGCCTGTTATTCCAGATTGATTAGAAGTTCGCTTGACACATTTCAAAAGCCTTCAGAATATGCATCTAACAGCAGCTGCCATTCTCTTACACTTTACAGGGAGTTGTTTTAAGATGGATTTACACCTACACTCCATATTTTAGCAAAATAATGTAAGGAATGCATTCAACAGTGAGCTACCAGCGTGCTAGAAGCAAAGAAACCTAACTCTTGACAGTGTTATCACTGTTCTACTAAGTCTTTTGGTGAAGGTGAAGTGTAGGACTAAAGAAAAAAAACCCAGACCTCAAGGAGAAAATACAAACCTGCATCAGCTTGGCCTTTAAAGCCAGAAAAGCCAGAAACAGGCTGGCTTTTCTTGGATGTGATGGGATTCCTGCAGCTAACCCAACATACATCATTGTTGAATACAGAGACTTTTGTGCTTCTTTTCTAGAGGATGGGTTTGTGTCTGCAAAGAGGCTAAAAAATAAGGGAAAAAAATCTAAAGAATAGGAACAATAATATGAGAGAATAGAAAGGGAGAAAAGGGGAGATCTTAAGCTCTCATATCCCCGAACAACAAACACTGAACTTGCATTGAACAGTGATAATTTCTTCTAGACTCTACTCTACTACCACCAGAAAGACTCCATGAAGTTTTGAATTTGTAAATTTGGTAAAGTCATCATGGCTAGGCTTTGCGAACGAAGATTTGGGAAGGATTCTACCCAAACTTGCTACAAGTGCGCTGGTGGTTAAAAAGGCCAATGCAAGATAGACAAGTCCAGTTGCAAAAAGCACAGCAGAAAGACTCCTTAGGTGGTATCGACAAGACATGGTTCTTTATACATTGTCTTTTTTCCTTGAGAGTGATCCTGCATGCATTCTCAAAAGAAGCAGCAGCGTTATAGATGGTGTGTCTCCAGGCCTCCCGATTTGAGGCCAGAGTAGACCAAGGATGATGGATATGGCCAAGGCTGAGACATTGTTTCAGGGAGTCCTTGTATCTCCTCTTTGAGGCTCCTCTCTTGCAGCAGCCGGTGGCAAGTTCACCATAGAGCAAAATTTTAGGGAGGTGGTGGTCCTTCATCCTTGAGATGTGTCCTGCCCAACGCAGCTGTGTTCTCAGCAACATGGCCTTGATACTCGTAACCGCTGCCTGTTCTAGAACAGATGTATTAGTCACATAATCTGACCAGTGGATGTTTAGGATTGTAGAGAAGCAGCGTTGATGGAAGCGTTCTAAGAGTTGCAGGTGGTGGCGATAAATGTCCCATGATTCAGACACATATAAAAGAGCAGACAGCACTATGGCTCTGTAAACACTGATCTTTGTACTTTTCTTCAGGTGTTTGTTTCGCCAAACCTCTACATGCCTTTGCTAACCTGTTGTCTATCTCTCCGTCAATCTTACCATCCGAGGAAATGATGCTTCCCAGGTAATTAAACTGCTGGACTGATTTAAGCTCTGATTCACCAATGGTGATATGAGGACGATGGAAGACTTCCTGAGGTGCAGGTTGATAGAAAACTTTTGTCTTCTTCAAGCTGACTTCCAGCCCAAAAAGCTCAGCAGCCTCTGCAAAGCAGGATGTTAAACGCTGCAGAGCTGCTTCTGTGGGCAACGAGGACGGCGGCGTCAGCATAAAGCAGCTCACGGACAAGATGGTTTAAGGTCTTAGTGTGGGCCTTCAGTCACCTTAGGTTGAATGGGCTTCCATCGGTATGATATCAGATGTAGGCACCATTTTCTTCATCGAGGTCTGCTGTGGCCCTTTGGAGCATCCTGCTGAAAAAGACTGTGAATAGGGTTGGTGCAAGAACGCAGCCTTGTTTCACACCACTGGTTATCTGACAGGGCTCAGAAAGTGCATCGGCATGTCTGACTTGGCTGTGCTGATCCTCATGGAGTGAGATGATAATTTTAAGGAACTTAGGGGTACATCCTAAATGTTCCAGAAATCTGCCACAGACCTTTTCTGCCCACGGTATCAAAAGCTTTGGTGAGATCAACAAAGGTTACATAGAGACCTTTGTTCTGTTCCCTACACTTCTCTTGCAGTTGTCTGAGAACAAATACCATGTCTGTGGTACTCCTGTTGGCTCTGAAACCACATTGGCTTTCAGGTAGAATTCCTTCTGCTATAGCGGGTATTAGTCTGTTCAAAAGTATTCTTGCCAGGATTTTGCCAGCAACGGAGAGCAAAGTAATATCACAGTAATTTGAGCAGTCTGATTTAACTGCTTTCTTCTTATACAAGGTGATGATGACTGCATCACAAAGGTCTGATGGTAGCTTGCCTAGTTCCCAACAGCGCACCACAAATTTGTGAAATTTAGCATGGAGTGCTTGGATGCCTCCAGACTTCAGGTGGAATTCCTTCAACCCCAGCTGCCTTGCCACTTTTCACCTGCTGTAGGGCCTTAAGAGTTTCTCCCATAGTAGGGGCAATATCCAATTCATTTTTCAGCAGTTGTTGTTTAATGTACTGAACTGCTGAGTCTTGAACTACACGGCTAGTACTGAAAAGAGTTTGAAAGTGTTTGCTAAAGTAACATTAGAGGAAAAGCTGAAGTGTGCAGAACTTGTACTAGTTTGGGAAGCAAATCCCCTGAAGGTGACCTGGCTAAAGAGTTCAGTGGTAGTAGAACATCACAATACATGACAAAACATTCAACATGAGGAGGCAGATGAGAACAGAAGCCTGTCATTCCACGCCATTATAAAACATATAAAGAAGATACTTAGCCCAATACAGCAGGAGCACCAGATGTCTGGTCATCTGTTCCTTTCTCTGCTTACAAGAAACAACAATAAAAAAACAGTCCTGTACAGAGTTGTGAGTCTTTAACGACAGAGCTGTCTTTAACGACAGCTAGATCCTCAGAAAAAGATCAGAAACAACTTATACATCCAGCACAAAAATAGATGAGAGTTTGCCAAGGTGACAGTGATGACTTAAACCTAACTCTTCTCCAGAGCTGCAGAAATCATGCTACTCAGATACAGAAGTCCAGAACCATTTGGAAACCTACATGATCTCATTTCTAACCAGGGCTTTAGTTAGCACATTAGCAGAAGTGCTATGTCAATATACAAGCAGCACATTTTTTGGAAGAAGATACTCTAAAATTATTGCTTAACCATGGCACTTATAAAGTGTTGATTTTTTTCAGACACCCAAGTCTCTTCATTTGGTCCTATCACTTCTCACCAGATATACCTACTTCCTAAAAAAGTCAGCTTACCAGATGCAAGATTCAGCGGGCAGAATTAAGTCTCACTTCCAAATTCTATCCCCTGCCTTAACAGCACACAATGTAACTCCAACCACATTAGTTTCTTTCTTTTTTAAAATTAGGAAAAAATAACTATTTCCCACAGAACTTCAGAGATAGTTTTTGTAAAGTGCTTCTGAGTTCTCACATGATGAACATATTCCTATTGTATAGAACAGAAACTGGGAGGTGACCTGATTATTAATCCTTTAAGTACAAAAAAAAAATATGAAAATGAAATTGTCAGATGAAAATTGTGTTTAATTATAGTGGTAGATACCAAGCCACTCCTGAAATCAGTGCATCAATGCTACTAACCAACATACGAAGTCTAAGCAGAGATCATTTATTCTATTTTGATTCCAGTATTATTTGTTCCAACACATTCTTTGCTTAATTCCAATCTATTTATCCAAAACACAATATAAGCTACACTTAGTTTTCTACTATTATTTGGAAGTAAAAAACTTGTTCTTCAGTATTTTGGCTTCAAGAAAAGACAGCTTGTGAATCCACTGACCATCTCAATTAAGAACTTCTTCAGTTTCCAAAGCCCTATCAACACTTAATCTCAGTCTTCCACAGATCAAGCCAAATCTATGTTTAAAGTTCAGAATACAAAAGATATGAATTAAGTTTTTATAAAAATGTAAAAAGCTAGTCAAAATTACATGTTTAGATATTTAATTTTTGAAGAACGGAGTATAGCAGCAGGGAACTTAAATATAATAAGAACTATCAACAATAAATACAAGAAAATAATGCAAAGATTGCAATAGAAGGATTCTTGAGTACAATGAGAATATAAAGAGACATTCTAATTTGTACAAAAACCATTCCAACTTTGTATACAATCTCTTCTATAAATACAACCATATAAGATGAAATGCTTATTTGCAAATAATAATTATTAAAAAGTGTGCTTTATTGGGTTTTTCATTCGGTCTCTTGGCAGGTGTAGTTTGCAGGAAGTCTGTAAAAACAAATATCCATAATTAGATATTTTAACTCCTCCAGAAGTTATGTTTTAAATACAAATAACAATAGATCCAGTACATACTTGATTTCCACAGCATCACTAGAACACTAAGCACTGTAACAATTCCATTTGCAGTTACACAGTGTGGAACCTTATGGTAAATTGTTTCAAAAAAAAAAGTTTACCTATAGCGGTGCATGAAATTGGCTGTGCATTGCTATTGCCTGTTGAAGTTTTTCCTCTTTGGCTCGTCTGCAGTGGCACAGCTACAAAACAAGAAGTACACAACTGAATTCTGAACGCAATTTTTTTATAATGCATACCAGTTTCTCTTTAATTATTTAGCTACTTTGCAAACTTTTTTAAAAAGGAAAAGCCCTCTGACCTACCTTCATTGTTCAGGCTGAACAATGGTCTACATTGATAACATTATTCCATCCACAATTGCTTACAAGAGGATTGTTTGCAGTGTTATGAAACGCACTTATTAGGCATCTTTAAAGAAAGGTAAACTGCCTGCTAAGTTGCTTCTGTTACAGCACAAGCAAGAATGTTGTTTTTTGAACCTCAGTTACTTATTTGATGATAGCCATCAACAAAATAATTAGTTTAATAAGTTTAATAAATTAAACATTAATGTTGTTTAATATAACATGTCATTTTATGTCGACCTTCCAAATTTGAAATTTACCATGTGGCTATCTTCCCTGTATCTGTATATGATATTCAAGAACGTGGCACAAAAATATTTGCAAAATACACCAATAAGGTCTAATGCACGAGACCTTTGCACTCCTGCCTTAAAAATATGTGCCTTCAGAATGTAGATTATACTCTAAATACAGTAAAGCCAGTTAAGGATAATTTTTTCTTCTGTCAAAGCTCACTACAGCACTGTTCTGTACCACAAGACTGCTCAAACTCAAAGTCCTAAATTTATTTATGTGTCTTACATATCTCAGATTAGAAGTACTTGTATATTACATACCGTTCTCTTTTCCATGAAACTACTAAGAAAGTCATCTATTTCTGTTTTGCCTTCCAAGAAGTCTTCTGCAATAGTGTCAGACTCCTCTTCAGCTTCATGGGCAGCTACTTTAAGTCTGGCTTGCAGAGCACTTGGACTGCAACTCTAAGAAAATAAAAAGTCCTATGTAAAATTAAACTGTCCATCTCAACTTATATTTTCAAGACTCTATAAATATGGAATATGTGGATAAAGCATTATTATTATTACATAAAAGCCAAAGTGACCAGATGAAGCTTCATCTCCAAGAAACAGTACAGCTTGTTAAACTAGAAAGGATTCAATGTGAGAAAAGCATTGCTAGTTTAGGTCTTGATACACAATCATTCTCACAAATGTATAAAGCTTTTCAACTTTTACCCTACACTGTAGAAAGCATCCAGTTTGGAAATCTGACAGGTTCTCGAGTGCATGATTTCTCAGTAGAACTAGCGTTTCAAGTGTCTTCAATAAATAGGGTCTACTTTTGAAACTCAGTTGTGAATCTGAGAAGTATAGAAAGGTAAAAAAGCACTTACTGTTCAGCTTTTAAATACCCTTGAAATGACTGTGGAGAGGAAGACAGGAAAGCAAAAAGCACCTACTCAAGAATTAGATGGGCTGCTAATCTAAACCAGTATACTCAATTTTTGGTTCTTATAAACCTCAAACCTTATTTCTGTTTATTGCATATAATTTCATTATTTTTCCTCTAATATGCTTGAGCAGTTAATCAGAACATGATTCGCATCCAGTAGGAGTCTGTGTGGAGACAAAACTGCAAAATTAAGATATTTATACATTTTAGATGCTTGGCCTACTCTTCCATCTACTGCATGAAAAATATTTTACTTAAGTACTGTAAAACTTTAATCAGAAATTCCCTGTTAAATTAATCTTGTAGCAAATAAGGAGATTCTGCTCTAATAAAGATGACTAAAATTCACTCACAGTACAAGTAAAAAGACTTGTCTGGAACTTTGAAGGACAGAGAATAGGAGATACCAGGTAGAGCACAGCAAACATCAGTACATGAAGATATAGCGTATAGGGGAAAAAAGCAGAAAAATTCAGTTGCAACTCTTCAGCTCTCAGCCTCCTAACCATCATTAAATTGAATCAGCAAACCTAACTTAGAAAAAAAAAAAGGTAATGCAAAAGTGGAATATTATGTCCTGTTCTTAAGTGGTTTCTTACAGAAATAAGTTACTCAATGTCAACTACCTACATCTACTTTAAAGACAACTTGCATCACACGGAAAGGAGGCATTAGTAGTCAAGACTACTTTGATTTTCCAGTGAGGAAACATTTAATACTTTTAGATCATGTATGAAATCATTCAGTTTGCTGTCATGCAACTTTTTCATTGTTATTTTGTATTTTGTTACTTTGGGGACATTCTGAAATTCAGCTACTATGCGTGCTAATTTGACAGACTGTTGTATTCTCAGGTGACAAGTCTAGCAAATAATTTCAGTGCAGGAACTGGTTTGTGAGAAGTTACATCTTCTAATGCATAGCCTGGTAAACATACCAAGAAATTGTCTTCCTTCTTTGAATTACTTTCTTAAGTAATAACTTCACCCAGTTTGTGCTTTTGAATGTGCAATGTTTGACAGCATTATCCAATATGTTGCCCAAAATAAGCATACCTAGTGAATCACAGAATTTAATTTATAAAGTCATCATTTTGACCATTTTCACCTGGTATAGTTTTACAAGCTTACTATGTTAAATGAGTACCATTAATTAAACAAGCCTTCTTTAAAGATCATTCTATTCTTAAAACTGGTTTGGTCCAGGATTGTACTTAACAGCTCTAGATGCACATCACTCTCTTCTTCCAGCTTTGCTTCTATCATAGCTTTAAAAAACAAAAACCCAAGCAAAGAAACCCCTCTTTTGCTTTTAACCTGTTTGGTACACCATCCCATTTTTTTCCTACTTTATATGAATCTATTTCACACAAAATTAGATTAACCAGGAGAATATTCTTAATGGTTAAAGATACAAATCAAAACTTCCATTTTATTGAAGTATTCTTAAAGGATAACATATAGAAATTATACCTCACTAAGTTCATGCTGTCTTTGCATCTTTTTTTCAAAGGCTGCTTTCATCTGTGTAAGTTGTTCATACTGGAAGGAAAAAAAAAAAGAACATTTTCCCCTTGAAAACCACCAAATATTATTCCTAATATTTCTGAAAAAGATTTTATTGCTCACTTACTTTATCCAACACTGTCTGTCTTTTTGCTTCAAGACTAGGCTCCAGCAGCAAGTTTTTTTCTGTAAAATAAAGTCACTATTACTACTTTTTTTTAAAGGATTCAGTTCACAGCACACAGCCACAAATGATAACATTTTGACACCTTACTTGCCAGCTCTTCGATGCTTTTCACTAACTCATCTCTATCAGTAATGACTTGCTTCAGTTGTGGTAGAGCCACAAATTGTTCCAGTAGTACCTCCTCTTGCTCATTCATACTGGTCAGCTGTGATATGCTATATTCAAACAGAACAGGAGTAGATTTAAATCTAACAGCAAACACCACATGCAGAGCAACTCACCTCTGCCAAAACTTTGAGGCATTTCTGGGGATTTTACAGACACGTGACACTTGACTACAACTTCTTTTTCCCATTTCTCTTGGATTGTGGGCTCTACTATATGCAGAAGTAAGCTTAAAAAGTAGCATGTTAAAAAGTATCACCCATTTCAAGGCCTACTTCCTATAAAGTGCTTTTTAATGCTACTATAGTGGGTTGACTGTCCCTAGCTACCAGATGCCCACCCAGCTGCTCTCTCCTCCTCTCTCCCCCTCAACAGGATATAAGGGAAAAGCTTGATGGTTGAGATATGACAAAAATCAGACACAGACCAGCAGTAACTGCCTTTTAATAACTATGGAAAGTTTAACTACCTTCTGAAAATTTACCTTAGTTCCGAAAGTTCTGGAAAGGTATCAGGAACATCAGGCATCTTGTAAGTAAAACCATTCTGGCCAACCTAAATGTAAGTTCAGAAATGCTTAGTAGATTTTTGAAGAAAAATTTCTTGATATTTAACCTGCTTAATCCAAAACTGGAGATGAATAGTTGCCAGCAAGCAGAAAGGCAGGAAAAGTAGTAAGAAGCAGTAGTACTAGTCTCTGAGCAGAAGACAACAATGGCAACAAAATGCTCGAAGATGTTTGGGGAGGCATGTCACAAAAGATGAGCCAGTTTTGGAGGCAAATAATTCTGCCTTGACATGTCCTTCATTTGAAAACAGTTGGGTGACCAAGGAAATACACATGAGTACAACTCAGAGAAGTGATAACAAAGAAAGAGATTGACATTTTGATCTCTTTCATATGGTTTTTAAAGCTATAATCCCTCAGAAAAAAAAAAGTTTTAGACAAGGAAAAAGCCTTTGTCTTCATTGAATGTAGAAAATTTGAGTTTCACAAAGCCAGAAAAGTGTCTTCAAAGATTAAGAAAACTTTTGTTTCTAAAGACAAGATTTTATTAAAGACTAAATATTTACATATAAAGTTTTTAGAGGACATTAAAAAAAATTCCTTCCACAGTTCATCAGAGAGAGGGAGTTTGATATACACATACAAGATAGAACTCTACATATAGAGGCTTAAGATTGCATATTGTCCTCATCTGACAGGTTCTGGGCAGGAAAAAAAATAAAAACCATTTTTCGTGGTTGGAGAAACAGTTACAGCTGCACTATGGGAAAGTGCAGCTCCAAAAAAACCCCACCTCTATATTCAAAGATATTTAGCGTAACACTAGTTTCACTGAAACTCAGAAAGACAAACTTTTTGCTTCAACTTCAAGTTGTAAAAAACTTTTTGTCAAAGGCAAAATAACAGTTTTGCTTTCCTAACACCAGCAAAACAATGAAGTGCAGTTACACATACTGCTTCCTTGAGTTTTGTGGCAATGCCCTGTGTGCCCTCGAGGGAACTCATACTCAGTGTCTGACAGCTTAAGCAGCAAAACTCAGAACACAGACCTGAAGCACAGCTTCTGCTGTGGGAACAGGTAGTGGCAGATCAGCAATCAAGCCATAGGAGGGAGCAGCAGGCTTGTCTGTAGTGTAGCTTGAAGAAACTGATTCAGCAACAGGCATGGCTGCCATTGTTCTATTTGTTTCTTGAGGTGGGTATGGAGGAAGAAATGGAAACCCCTGAGGAGCAAAAGGAGGCATTCCAGCTGGTTTGTTGAAAAGGCTAAAAAAAAAAAAAAAAAAAAAAACCCACACCCATGAGCAACCAACTGCTTACAGCACATTTCTTATCATTTGAATTATAATTACTAGACCACATAAAAGACACGACTGAATTTTCAGATGACCATAAACTTTGCATTATCTGTTACTTCCAATGTAATAAGTCTTTTTCTCTTATACTGCAATATAATATAGAATTCCATTAAACTATATTCTTGTAGAGCAGCCAATTACACACACTTAATTATAAGAAAACTGCTTCACAAAAATTTATGAGAGCATAAATTTCAATTGTTTCCATCCTGAAGTTGTAAGAAACATATTTGTGTCACACATTAGTTCTTACTAATGCTATGGTATAGCATTTAACAGTTTGGGCAACACACACGTAGTTACTTCTAAATAACAGGAATGGGTTTTTTTTAAATTCACAACTGAATTAGAGCTGCCTCTAATCCTAGTATCATAGAATCATAGAATCAGATGGGTTGGAAGGGACCTCTGAGATCATCAACTCCAACCCTTGATCCAACACCACTGTGGTTACTAGACCATGGCACTAAGTGCCACATCCAGTCTCATCTTAAAAACCTCCAGGGACAGAGAATCCACCACTTCCCTGGGCAGCCCATTCCAATGGCTGATTACCCTCTCTGTAAAAAATTTCTTCCTAATATCTAACCTGAACCTCCCCTGGTGCAGCTTAAGGCCATGCCCTCTTGTCTTGCTGATAGTTGCCTGGGAGAAGAGACCAACCTCCACCTGGCTACAACCTCCTTTCAGGGAGTTGTAGAGAGCGATGAGGTCTCCCCCTGAGCCTCCTCTTCTCCGGGCTAAACAACCCCAGCTCCCTCAGCCTCTCCTCATAGGACCTGTATTCAGGTCCCTTCACCAGCCTTGTTGCTCTTCTCTGGACCTGCTCCAGCACCTCAATATCCTTCCTGAACTGAGGGGCCCAGAACTGGACACAGTACTTGAGGTGTGGCCTCACCAGTGCTTAGTACAAGGGAAGAATCACTTCCCTGGACCTGTCAGCCACACTGTTCCTGATACAGGCCAGGATGCCATTGGCCTTCTTGGCCACCTGGGCACACTGCTGGCTCATGTTCAGCTTCCTGTCAATCCAAACTCCAGGTCCTTTTCTGCCTGGCTGCTCTCCAGCCACTCTGTCCCCAGCCTGTAGCACTGCAGGGGGTTGTTGTGACCAAAGTGCAGGACCCGGCACTTGGCCTTGTTGAACCTCATCCCGTTGGAATCAGCCCAACTCTCCAGCCTGTCCACTGAGAGCGGTAAGAACCACAGTTGTATTGATAAAGCTGGAATGCCTCAGACCACTTTTGCATATTTAATGCAATTCTTTAAATTGCACAATTTATGTTGCACAGTTGTGCAACAGAAACTGCCCTAAGCTTGGGAGGTTATGAACAGAATATGAAAAAACACAACTGCTCAAATCATGATCTACAGCAAATTCCAGATTTCATCTGATAATGTAGATATTGTTTTTCAAGAAAACAGGTATAAAGTTACATCAGCAAGTTGATATAGTAACTCCAATGAAATTCTGTGTTTCTTCTCAAAACAATCATGTCATCAAGCATGCACATGAAATTGTGCAAGGACAGGGAATATAATTCTCCCCATATATCCATTACATTATTCCTGTCCCTGCCTTCCTAATAATTGGTTTAGTCTCTTTTTTAAAAGTTAAATTAATACACATAGTTCCATTCATCATGTTTATAGATAACTTACTATGGAAATGATGTTGAGCTAGGAGCCAGGACTGGAGGATTCTTCCAAAACTCATCCAGTAAACTTTGAATAATTTTTCCAAGATCTGAGTGCATTGTAAACTGGTAAAAGCACAAAACAAAACCCAATGCAGAAAAAAAAATTATGTCTGGAATCGAACAGCTCCAAAATGTGCTGAACTTAACTGTTTAATATACCCACACAGCAGTGCTGGAAGCTATTTCAGACCTATAAGCTACTGTAAACTGTGTACACATAAGCTCCAAATAAAGTGATAAAGCATCCCAGAATTGAATAGAAACTAGAAATCTTTTGTATATTCCTTTATAAAGGAAGAGTCAATGAAGTACAACATTTCTGATGAACAACCAAAAGAAATCCACCTTAGTTACCAAGTTACATTTGGGAAACCAACAAAAGGAGGGGGGGGGAAAAAATGAGTCAAGGACAAAGGCATTAACTGCCTTCTGAAAGCGTCAAAACCTCTCCCCCACCCCAAAAATCTACCACATCCTTGTTGGCAAAGAAAAGGGGAAAGAACAGCATATTAAAATCCTGAATATTCGAGCTAAAACCCTGACGTTGTTCTAATAGGATTAGGCTGGAAAGAACTACGTTACAAAACACTCTTAAAGCATTCCTCTCCTTTATCTGGAATACACTGTAAAGAAACAAGAACTGTGCTATTGATACTGACAAAAAAATTTGACAGGAACTTTCTAAGCCACCATAACTAAAATAGTTTTAGATATATAGAATACTCAACTCAGTAATAGCAGCAGTAAAAGAATAAATAGTAGTATACTGAACACCTGAATTTTTGTTTTCAGGCCCCTGAAACACAATTTGAGAGAGATTAGGATCTGCACTAATCTTTTTTACAAAGAGTATTAGCAATAATCTAGTGTGACATGTATTAAAACTTCTATTAACAGTACATTTATGTGAAGCTACAAATTATACATACATTACTTATTAATGGACCGGTCACATATACTCCCTGCTTGTCCATTAAATGATGTCTCACAGGTGGGAAAACACTGATGACTGGCTTTTCCTGAGGAAACTGAGGTGGAAGCAAGCTGCAAATACAAGAACAATCATTACTACAGCTATATTCCATGACAAAATTTGTGTAAGAAGGCTTATTATGCAAAGAAAAAGTACTATTAATTACATAAACCTACTTTTCTACACAAAGAGTTATGGAGAAATGTACAGTGAATGAAGCACACAAAAGGATTATTCAGTTATAAAATTAGAAGTCAGACAGAACGGAATACTAGACTTCCATGGAACTGAAGAGAGCATTTACTGAGCCAAATTGTAGTATAGCAATGGAGTACATATGTCCATGGACAAAGAAAAACTGTAGCGTAACAAGAGTATTTTCAAATACAAATGTTATTACTATAAAGACAATGCAGAGTAACCTGTAAGAATAGACCAAGTCAGCAGGTAAAAGTAATAAAAAACTTGTGGACAGAATGCCATCAATATTTGCCACAGCAAAAGCACCCCCCCAAAACAAAGTAACGGGAAATGTTACAATAAATCACTTAAGTTATGATCCAGAAGCCTCACTGGGGTAAGAGTTTGGAGTTACAGCAGACTAGTAAATTACTAATCAAGTTTATTTGCAGTTGTAAGGGATTCAAAGTCAGAAACCCTCAAGTGTTGTCCCCTAGTTACCTTCAACTAAAAACACACAGCTATCTTAGGAGCTGAGCACAGCAAAATAAACTTTTGCTCTCAGCTGAGCATTTGCATCTTGTACAGGACTAGTTTCACTCATATCACTACAACACTAATACAAATCCAGGTTCCTGAAAGTTAGCTGGGAGCCACTTATGTTCTATTACTACTTTTTTTTTTTTTTTAGGACAATTTTAATTTTCAAGATGTGCATAGACACATCTCACTCTACTTACATGTTAATATTAATTGTCAAGTTGTTTACAGTGAACGGCAGTCGATATTCCACATCTTTCTGAATTTCTGCAATGCTGTCAAAGAAGAAATGGTTAGCATCCAATTCATGGTCAATATAATAGCTTAAAGTCTAAAAAAACAAGCATGACCTCAGACCTTTGTACTTAGTTTAGTTTTGAAAAGCCCTGTAAGAACAAAATGGAAAATGCTGGAATAAGTTAATATGCTTCAGCATGCCATATTGAATATTAAGATTAAAGGAAAAAATAGGAGGCTCAACTTTTAAACCTCATACAGGATGACAATCAATGGAAACAGTAGGAGAAATTGCAGTACTCACTATTCTGACAACAATCTCAACTTACTGGCTTAATTTAAGGCAAATGTGTGTTAAGAGTAGCACAAGGAATGTTTTGTGTCCTTCCCAAGCATTATTTGGACATAGAATTTAAGACTCTAGCTTTCAGAGCTTGAGGAACAAATGTGTAAGACATGAACTTAGTTATGAACCTTGTTTTCTGCAGGCTGATCTTATTCCTCTCATAGACAACTCAGTATTTGCTCTTGCCCTGTGAAATCACATGTTGTTTGAAGAAAGTATCAATTATCTTCAACACAAGAGAATTCAAATCAACGGCTCCACTGTGTTACACCACACACCAAAATCGGCATTTCCTCATTCTTAACTGAAGGATTCTCCCTGGAATCTCTCACACACATTCCTGCCCTGTAATCATCTGTCACACTTTTTAATAGCCTGCTGCAAAATCCTTTTGAGAAGGGTATATAATCATGCTCCACTCACAGGCACAACCTATAGAAACTGGGGGGGAAGATGAGGACAGGGAGAGAGAAACAAGAAAGACAGAATCGCATTGAGCTGATCAAACGGTTACAACCTCCCTTATGGAAAACCTTGAACTAATAAACTTAGTTGCCCCTTTCCTAAGTGGGAACGGATACACTGGAACTTAACTTTGGCTAGAACAACAGCAAATGTAAGAAAACCCTTTTTAAATACAAAGACTTTATTTCAAGCTCCTAACCTGTGAGGGACCCTGAAAAGGAAGTTTAGCTGCTTTACCAAAATTAAGATCGCACATACCTGGGCTTTTACGACCTAAGACAATACAAATCAAACTTGAATATCTTAGTTATCTACACTGTGACAAGAATTTTGAGCATTTCAGCGAAGAGCAGTCAGGATACTCAGAAATGAATGACAAAGTAGACTTAGCAGACAAAACAAACACTAGAATGACATTTACTTAATTGCTGCTTAGGAAACAGTGCTGCTGCAACAGCTTAATGCATATTCCTATCCTACACATCTGTGCTGCTACAGAGTTCATGAGCAAGGACATCAGTCCCATCCATGAAATAAACCTTTGCACTTTTGAAAAGTTGCTCGAGTTCACATACCTTTTTGAAAGTAAAGAATTTGAGGTGCTGATATTCAGATTTGTTTATGAAAACTGTACACTTTGTCAGAATTTACTCTGCTTGCCTGACTTTTGGGTTTTAATTATTTTACTACGATTAAAAGAGATCAGACAGCTAGTTTACAGGGCTGTAAAGTTACATATGGGCAGCTATCATGTCCCTACCCCTCATCTCAATTCCTGGCTGCAGGAATTCCCCCTCTGCCTGTGCTTGTGCTGGTGCCTGCACAAACAAGTAGCAAACCAGTTCAGCAAGCTGACTGACAAACACCGATCACCTTTTTGGGGACTTAACTCAGGATGAGCTTCTCTTCCTGCCAGGAAAAAAGTTCACTGAGCTGCTGCCTGCCTACAGAGACAACTCCTTAGAAAAGTGAAGTCTCAAAAATACTTGCAAAACTGGCTCTGAACAGAATTAAGTTTATGCAAGCAACAGTATTTAGAATACTGTCATATTTATGTTCCCTGTGTGATAAATATTAGGATGGTGAGCTATCTGCAGTTATTAAACTTGGAAATACAGTAAGTATCTCTTCTGTTCCTACTCTCACTCTGATGTGACAGAAAACACTCTCCTTCCTCTTTCCTAATTGTTTTGGAGGTGGTATCTATCATTCCAGTTCTACAGACATCCTAGGAAGCTGTATGTCTATAGAATGCTTACTTCACTGAAAATATAACTTCGAATGTATGAATTGTGGATCTCCTTTTAAAACGTAAATAGCTTTAAAAGACTAGGAAAAATAGAGGGCAGTATGCCAAGAGGGAGTATCTCAGGATGAAAGAAAGTATTTTGTTTTAAAAAGTGTGGATATTGAACAGAAATAAAAACAACCGGCTTCTGTTGAGCATACAAACAAAAACAGTCCCCAAGGAACAACCAGTTATTAGGAAACTAGCACTGAACATCAGAAAAAATAGTCAGTAGACCTTGTAGGGCTGCTACGCCACTGCAGACACACCAGTGTGACACACAGCTCCTCGGTACTCTACGTTTTAGTGTCAACTTTTAAAGAACAACACTCTCACAACCAGCTCTAAGAGGTTTTATCCCAACAGTCTGCACGTCTTTGCAGACTTCAACCCATTAAAGCACTTAGCGGGCTTTCTGGTCAGTGGCCGGTGTCACTGGGCACGGCGATCTGCGCCCGCTCCCCCGGCCAGGCCACACCGCCGCCAGCGGGGCCGCCTCCCCCGTAGCCCCGACAAGCAACGCGGCTTTCGGTTTCCCGGTGCCGCTTCCCGGCCCGCCGCGGTACAGCACAGCACACCACAGTATAGTCCAGCTGTCCCCCGGCGGGACCCTCCGCCCCCGGGACAGCCGAGGCTCGGCCGGCCTGGGCGTCCTGTTTACCCGCACAGCCGCGAAGTCCCGGCCGGGCCTCCCCGGGTGGTGACGGGGCGCAGCCGGGTCCCCGCGTGGGGACACGCCGTACCCTTCCGACACAGCGCGGTCCCGCCTCGAGCGGCACCGCGCCCGGGCCGGGCCAGGCCGGGCGACACAGCGCGGCCCTCCCGCCCCCGCGCTCTCCCTCCCGGTCGCCGCGGCCACTCACGAGGCGTGCGCGGCGCGCAGGGACTCGACCTGGCGCTGGCGCTGCTGCTGGAGGCCGGTGCGCGCGGGCGGCGCGGGGCCCGCGGCGGAGGCGCCGCCGCCCTTGGCGAGCGGGAACAGCC